GGCCATGTTATTAGTATACACTCTGTGCTGTGTGGGCTATCTGGATAAGTAGAATTTTAGAAAAGTAGAACAATTTCCTTAGGTCCCTAGGTCTTCTACTTTTCCAGACTCCACTGTATTTCCGTTGCCAAGCTCTGTATTCGTGATTTTGTCAAATAATTTTATTCCTACTATTCCGTGCAGGCACAAATTAATGAACTGCAATGTTTTATTAATTTAAATACGGTAATGATATTCAGTTTTCACTGCCAGGACTAATTTAAGGCTCTGTCTTTCAGTAATACTTGTCTAGAAGATGCTGTGAAATTACCACATTAACTGTAATAAACGATCACTTGTCAGAGTAATACTGTTTCTAGTTACTGATGTGTTGTTAATCTTAGCTTTGGCTGGCAGCTGTCCTAGGAGGGAAGCACGACTATTCTGACCAGGCAGCTTCTGCAGCATGCTTTGTTTTGGTGCTACCTTTCTTTTTTGAGTTAACAAAGCAGGCGCCAAGCGAGGGATCGTCTTGCATGGGCAACACAAGATTGAACCTTTTCCTCTTTCAAGACGTTAGTGTTATATTGCGCTATAGGGAGGTATGGGACTCACAAGACCCGCCTACGCTAAGAACAGCCTTTCACAATTATAGCATGGGATTTCAGGCCCATCGTTTAGTATGTTTCTCCTTAGATGCTCAGCTCTCATCCTTTCTGAAATCACTTCTTCCTTCATTCTCATTTCCTTCCTGATGTGCCCCCTCCATACAACACGGTCCATAGCATTTTGTTCCCATGAGCCCATCTCAATACCTGTATCATTCATGTCCCACTCTCACATATCTTTATTTTGTATCAGAGGTCAGCCCTGACATTTTCTACACATCAATTCACACCACTACAACAGATTGCAACGAACCGCCATGCATGGAGAGTCATGACCTCTGCCCTATGTGCCGCACTCGACACAAGAGGAAAGACTAACTAACTAATTCACACGAGGATAATCTTAGGGGCCCTGCCATCAGAACGGCTAGGCGCCTGTCAAGAATTATGCACAAAACACGAACGGCGCAGCTCTTGCCATGTTTCCCAGGGGTCTCCGTAAAAAACTGCACTCGTAAACTAAATGGCGCGGCTGTGAAACAAACCCAGGACTTTCAGACAAATGGCATGACCAGTTCCCTCTGGAAAGATGGTAGGTGTGCCAACAATAAAGAGGTCAAAGTTTCCGTAACCGCCCATAGCACACCAGGCTCCACCCCCCCACCCCCCACCCCCCCCCCCCCCCCCCCCAATTTTTACAAGACCGACCCCCCCCCCCCCCCCCCCCCCATCGCATTCAAGTCCCAGAACTTTACCTGGCACCCAAATAAGCCTCGGTCGACATTTAAGCCAAGGTCATGTGAGAAAGAAAAAAAATCAGGCCCCAGGCAGATTTTAACCAATGACCTAAGGATCTGCACGCAAGCTTCTAGCCGCTACACCACAAAAGATAAGCTGAGAATTTAAGGACAGTTGTTAAAATAAACAAAAACAGAATGAGACAAGTGAAATATTTTGGCCTCATTAAAATCCAGGATTTTATAAAAATCCTACTGAAGGCAAACGAGCAAGATGGAGACAGAGATATAAGCTTCATGTTAGTTAGTTAGTTGGGTTATCCTCATTGCACTCCGGACATGTCCATAGGTGCTCAGATCCTCCCCTCAGTATGAACCCCAACGTCCGATGGCTAATAGTACCAGTTCTATGTTGATTAACAAGTCTTCTGGCGTAGCTGGTGTGTGTCTCGTTTTTTGCTGTGCCGATCTTAATTCCCAAGTCTGCCATTCTGGCGAGTGATGTGGATTCACTGCCACCAAAGTCCTCTATTCTTCCCATTTCTCTGAGGGCATTGATAATATCAGCATGATCCATAGGCTGACCGTCGGTAGTGATAGCGGATCCAGCCAACCTGTCAGCTCTTTCATTTCCATCGACGCCTGTCCCGGAACAAAAATAAAGGTGACTCCACGAACAGTGGACTTCTGTAATGATTCAAGCCATTGTCTTCGCACTGAACCTGCCTGAACCCTCATGAAGCTTCATGTGTACTGTACAACATATAATATTCATGAGTACAGTCCGATAAAAAGAAGAAAGGACCCTTTTCCACGCCTTAGGCGTATAGGGCATATAGGGCTAGACCTATATTTTTATAGATCATTCAGCACAAGTTGGGTGATGTGGTCAGCATCACGCCAGCCTAAAAAGAAGAAAGCTGTGTGGAAATTACTAACACTTTCAAAGTCATATGACGCCACACAGGAATTCTGCATTACAGACATATGACACTACAGAGGAATTCTGCATTACAGACATATGACACCACACAGGAATTCTGTATTACAGACATATGACACCACACAGGATTTCTGTATTACAGACATATGACACCACACAGGAATTATGCATTACAGACATATGACACCACCCAGGAATTCTGTTTTACAGACGTATGATGCCACACAGGAATTCTGCATTACAGACATATGACGCCACACAGGAATTCTGCATTACAAACATATGATGCCCCACAGGAATTCTGCATTACAGACATATGACGCCATACAGGAATTATGTATGACAGACATATGACACCACACAGGAATTCTGTTTTACAGACATATGAAACCACACAGGAATTCTGTTTTACAGACATATGACACCACACATGAATTCTGCATTACAGACATATGACGCCACACACAAATTCTGTATTACAGACATATGCCGCCACACAGGAATTCTGCATTACAGACATATGACACCACACAGGAATTCTGTATGACAGACATATGACACCACACAGGAATTCTGCATTACAGACATATGACACCACACAGGAATTCTGTTTTACAGACATATGACACCACACATGAATTCTGCATTACAGACATATGACGCCACACATGAATTCTGCATTACAGACATATGATGCCACACAGGAATTCTGCATTACAGACATATGATGCCATACAGGAATTCTGTATGACAGACATTTGACACCACACAGGAATTCTGTTTTACAGACATATGATGCCATACAGGAATTCTGCATTACAGACATATGATGCTACACAGGAATTCTGTATGACAGACATATGACGCCACACAGGAATTCTGTATGACAGACATATGACACCACACATGAATTCTGTATTACAGACACATGACACCACACAGGAATTCTGCATTACAGACATCTGACACCACACATGAATTCTGTATTACAGACATATGACACAACACATGAATTCTGTATTACAGACATATGACACCACACATGAATTCTGTATTACAGACATACGACACCACACAGGAATTCTGCATTAAAGACACATGACACCACACAGGAATTCTGCATTACAGACATATGACACCACACAGGAATTCTGTATTACAGACATATGACAGCACACATAAATTCCATATTACAGACACATGACACCACACAGAAATTCTGTATTACAGACATATGACAGCACACATGAATTCCGTATTACAGACATATGACACCATACAGGAATTCTGTTTTAAAGACTGTGGCATACCACGAAATGAGTAAGCAGACATACTTGCAAAAAATTGAACAAAAGTGAAACAACACACCCATTCAATGTCACTACCAGAAATCAAAACACATATCAAGGGAAAATTTAAGGAATTTTGGAGAGAACAAACCAACAGTAAACATCAACAAGACCCTATCAGCAGACTCAACAGAAAGCAACATACTACAATTTTCGTCCTACGAACAGGACACTGCAGGCTCAACTATCACATGCATAAAATAAAGACTGTACAGTCCCCACAGTGTGCCTGTCAGACAGGACCACAAACACCTGAGTACCATCTGCAGACCTGCCCACTCTACTTACAACTTCAAAAAGAAACCTTTTGTAAGAGCAAAGTGTGCAGAGCAAGCTATGGGGAAACCCTGCAGGACCTGCAACTGACATGCGAGTTCATAGAGGCAACCACCTGATTGGTCTGATTTGAGCATGCGAAACGAAACGAAAAAAAAAAAAAAGAAGTCTTACAGACACATGACACTATGCATGACTTCTGTTTAGGTTTATACAACGGATCAACATCATGGCACGAGGGTAGTGATCCATAAGTGCTCCATTCTACTACTAACTCAAGCCCGAGTCCGAAGAATCTCAGCGCATTGCACAAATTCTGTAGCACTGACGAGGATCCTGAAATAATTGGGTAGATTTTTAACTCTAAATTTTGCCCCGGGTAGCGCTGTTAGACTGCTCTTTTCGATTTCCAACTGCCAAAGGAATTTTTACATGCGCAACATTACACATGGGCGTCCAATCTTACTAACCTGAGACCAGGGGAAATAACTAGAAGTCCATGTGAAAAAAATCCTAGCCTTCACCTTGGCCTGAACCTGGGTCATCACACCTCGAGACTACGCAGCCCCCACCCTACATTAAACTGTACCAAAGGCAAATGAAACTGTCAAAGAATTCTATATTAAACGCAAAGGAAACAATACAGGAATTCCATTTTATTACAGGCAAATGAAACAATACAAGAACCCATATTATAGGCAAAGGAAACAATACAGGAATTCCATATTACAGGCAAATGAAACAATACAAAAATGATACTGTACAGGTAAATAACACCATAAAAGAAATCAATGTTACAGGCACATGATGCCACATAAGAAATCCTCATTAAAGGCAGGTGACACCATACAAGAATTCTGTATTATGGGCAAATTAAACCATACATTATTTACATCTCAATAGTAATGAAGACGAGAGAATGCTTGTCAAACTTCAGTGTGATGTTAGCTGACCAGTTTTCTTGTGCCCCTCATGAAACCTGTAGTCGGGCAACTCCCTGCTCGAGACAAACTTCTCTCTGAGCAAGGCCACCACTCACGTCTAGAAAATCAGCAACAGCAACAAGATATTACCCCTGGAGTCCCAAACAGCGCACCATATGTGACAATCAGGCATCTGGACGCAGAACTTTCTGTATGTGACTTCCAATGTCCTCATCCTATGAAGCGATACCAAAGAATAATGTGTCATTAATGTGTCAAAGTTCTTCAGGGAATTATTTATAGGAATGCCAAAACAGTACTGTTGTATGAAGATGAACTATAAAGAATTACTAATGAAAATTATTAATAAACTACAAACATTCTTTAACTGGTGTCTGCAGGGAACAAAGAGAATTACTGCACAGAATAGACAGAGTCAAACTGTATGAGAGAATCACTAATGTATAGCTTTGGGAGAAAATGAAGCAAATTCTAGTGAATCCAGACCCCTACAATGAGGCCCCAGGAACCCAGTAGAATGCTAATGATGATGACAATGTTGATTATTACAATGGTAATGATGATTATGATGTCATCATTATGTTTATTATGATGGTGATGATGACACCAAGGATTATGATGTCATCATTATGATGTTTATTATGATGCTGATGATGACTGTTGCTGATAATGATTGTTGCTGATGATGACAGTGAAGATTATGATGACAACGCCATAGACACACACCTGATGTGACCATGAGACCAAAATATTTTTACAGTCCTCATCGCCGGAGACTTTCACAAGCACAGACTCTCCAACACTGATGGAGCCATCGCTGGAGCACTGAACCGGGCAGCGGGGAAACTCTCTGTAATTATTTCAAAGCATTTGAGAAAAGTGATCAGACTGTTTATATCTCAAACAAAAACAAGTAAATAAAAATGGCTTGCCCATTTAGAGAGGATGCCTTGTGACACTGTGCCATACAATACATACACCAAAACAGGAAAGGTACATAGAACGAATAGAAACACTTAATTTTCAAAGGGTCACAAAGTGGGCACGAGGGCTCGAAATACACTCAGCCCTTCTAAACACTCGCCTTTTAAAAAGCAATTATAAAGCATGTTATGTTCATACAGTAATATACACACTATGAACGTCAAGAAAATATGCAAAAGCATGGGAGGTTTTATGCAAAGAAGGGGATTATAGTATCACATAAGGATGGAGACTGTGGTACCATATAAGTAGTGGGACATAGGTGCCATACAATGTTGGAGACTATGATATCATATAAGGAGGGAGGCTATGGTACTGTATACGGCGGGAGACTATGGTACTGTATAAGGCGGGAGACTATGGTACCGTATAAGGAGGGAGACTATGGTACCGTATAAGGAGGGAGACTATGGTACCGTATAAGGAGGGAGACTATGGTACCGTATAAGGAGGGAGACTATGGTACCGTATAACGCGGGAGACTATGGTACTGTATAAGGAGGGAGACTATGGTACCGTATAAGGAGGGAGACTATGGTACCGTATAAGGAGGGAGACTATGGTACTGTATAACGCAGGAGACTATGCTACTGTATAAGGAAGGAGACTATGGTATCATATAAGGAGGAAGACTGGTACAACATAAGGAGAGAGACTGTGGTACAACATAAGGAGAGAGACTGTAGTCCCGCATACAGAGTGAGACCATGGTACCACATACAGGGGGAGAGTACGGTATCATGTAACGAGGCAGACTATGGTAACATATAAGAAGAGAGACTATGGTACCATTTAAGGACGGGGACATTGGTATCATATAAGGAGGGAGACTATGGTACCATATAAGGAAAGAATCTATGGTACCATATAAGGAGGGAAGAGAAAAGGTACCACATAAGAAGGGAGACTGAGGTACCACATAAGGAGGGAGACTATGGTATCGCAAACAGATGGATAGTATGGTACCACATAAGGAGACTATGGTACCACATAAGGAGATTATGGTACCACATAAGGGAGAGACTATGGTACCACATAAGAAGGAAGACTTTGGTATCATGTAAGGAGGAAGACTATAAGGAGGAAGACTATGGTATCATGTAAGGAGGAAGACTATGGCAAATAGACAAGGAGAGAGACTATGGTATCATAAGGAAGGAGACTATGGTATCATATAAGGAAGACTGGACAACATAAGACTATGGTACAACATAAGGAGAGAGACTTGTAGTCCCGCATACAGTGAGACCATGGTACCAACATACAGGGGAGAGTACGGTATCATGTAACGAAGACTATGGTAACATATAAGAAGAGAGACTATGGTACCATTTAAGGACGGGGACATTGGTATCATATAAGGAGGGAGACTATGGTACCATATAAGGAAAGAATCTATGGTACCATATTAGGAGGGAAGAGAAAAGGTACAACATAAGAAGGAGACTGAGGTACCACATAAGGAGGGAGACTATGGTAGTCGCAAACAGATGGATAGTGTATGGTACCACATAAGTAGACTATGGTACCACATATGGAGATTATGGTACCATTTAAGAAGAGGAGACTATGGTACCACATAAGGAGGAAGACTATGGTATCATGTAAGGAGGAAGACTGGTAAGGAGAGAGAGACTATGGTATCATGTAAGGAGGAAGACTATGGTAAATATGTAAGGAGAGAAGACTATGGCAAATATAAGGATGGAGAGAGACTATGGTACTATATAAGGATGGAGACTATCATTTAAGAAGGGACCTATGATATTAGGTAGGGAGACTATGGTAACACATAGGGAGAGAGACTGGTACCACATTCAGAGAGAGACTATGGTACCACATAAGGAGGAAGACTATGGTATCATGTAAGGAGGAAGACTATGGCAAACAGACAAGGAGAGAGACTATGGTAGGATATGGTATCAAAGGGAGACTATGGTATCATTTAAGGAGGGAGACTATGGTAACACAAAGGAAGGGAGACTATGGTAATACAAAAGTAGGGAGACATTAGTATTATACGAAGAAAAGACTACACCAACCTCCATAAATGGGAATGTATCACAATGCAATGACATTACTCCAGTGATCACTCACCTCAACAATGTTCTGTAGACCCTCTCTGACGTGTCAGAGACTGACCCCTCTTCCTCTGTGCTGATGTTGCAGGTGAATCTCAGCTCGTATTCATCGATTCCAAGCTCTCTAAAGGCAGCTGCTGGTTCTATCAGTTGCATTCTCTGTCAGAGAGAGTTAGAGACAGCCACAGTCAGGGGTTGAGATAGAGACAGCCACAGTCAGGGGTTGAGATAGAGACAGCCACAGTCAGGGGTGTAGATAGAGACAGGTACAGTCAGGGGTGTAGATAGAGACAGCCACAGTCAGGGGTTGAGTTAGAGACAGCCACAGTCAGGGGTTGAGTTAGAGACAGCCACAGTCAGGGGTTGAGTTAGAGACAGCCACAGTCAGGGGTTGAGATAGAGACAGCCACAGTCAGGGGTTGAGATAGAGACAGCCACAGTCAGGGGTTGAGATAGAGACAGCCACAGTCAGGGGTTGAGATAGAGACAGCCACAGTCAGGGGTGTAGATAGAGACAGCCACAGTCAGGGGTTGAGTTAGAGACAGCCACAGTCAGGGGTTGAGTTAGAGACAGCCACAGTCAGGGGTTGAGTTAGAGACAGCCACAGTCATGGGTTGAGTTAGAGACAGCCACATTCAGGGGTTGAGATAGAGACAGCCACAGTCAGGGGTTGAGAATCATAGAGAGCTTTGAGTGAGAGATATCAAGAAAGCTAGAGTAAGAGTGTAAGACAGAGCCAGAAAGAAAGAGAGATTTAGAATTAGAGAGATAGTTAGAGAGATCAAGAAAGCTAGAGTAAGAGTGTAAGACAGAGCTAGAAAGCCATAGAGTAGAGCTATTCAACTAAGTTTATTCAGGGGCGAAAATGTTAGAAAAGGGTGATCGTCGCAGGCCAGAAGCCAAAGTCCTGTGAGAAAGATCAGACAGATTGAGAGTCAAGAGTGAGAAAGATCAGACAGTCTGAGAGTCAAGAGTGAGAAAGATCAGACAGACTGAGAGTCAAGAGTGAGAAAGATCAGACAGATTGAGGGTCAAGAGTGAGAAAGATCAGACAGATTGAGAGTCAAGAGTGAGAAAGATAAAGAGTCCGAAAGATTTAAGAGTCAGTGTTAACAGAGATTAAGAGAGAATCAGAGCTGGAGAGTGTAAGAGAGTTGGACTTGAAGAGATTAGGAGAGTCAGTTAGAGGGAATAAGAGTCATAGTTAGAGAGAATAAGACAGTAAGATTTAGAGAGATTAAGAGAAAGAGAGTCAGAGTAGAGAGATCAAAAGAGTCTGAGCAAATAAGAGAGACAGATTTAGAGTGATAAGAGAGTCAGAGATTGAGTGAGATAGTAAGACAGAGTCTGAGGGTGAGATCAAGACAGCCAGAATGAGAGAGACTGAGAAAGTCAGTTGCAGGAACATTGAGCCACAGAGAGAACAAACAGATTAACAAATGAATTAAACTTGATTTTCAGAGAGTAACCGACTGGACATATATTTCATTCCTGTCTCACATTAGGCCTTTCTTACCATTTATCTTTCACATCTTAATTATATATTTAGTGTTCTTCTTTTCTTCTCTCTTTTATCCCCCACAGAGCCCTTATGGGCTCCAGGGCCCCATTGTTGGAGAAGAACAGGCCCTCTGTCGCCTAACAAGCATGTAGTAACAGAGAGTACTAATTAGAGATTTGAAGTCGGACTCCATCTGACTCAGGGGTGAGGAACCAACAGTCTACATTAAAATAAAAACCAGACTGCAAAACGGATGTGCATACAAAACTCAGGTTCCTGAACAAGATTAAAAATCCAAAAATGGACGAACAATCAGAACTTTCAGCTGGAGTTTACAGCCGGTGAATATGAAGAAAGAAGAATCTCCCCACTGGAGTTCAAGTGAATCAGAGAGACAGAGTCAGGGAAGAATCAGAGGGTCAGGGAGAATCAGAGAGAAGGTTAGAGAGAATCACAGAGAGACACAGAGAGAGAAAGAGAGAGAGAGAGTCAGAACAAGCCACATAAATGATTTAGAGAATAATAAGGAGAATGTCAGAACAAGTCAGGAGGGTTAAAGAGGAACAGAAAGTATGTTAAATAATACTAAACTTACAATTGTTAACTCTAATGTCAAATCAGTACTGCTGTATGGAGCAGAAACACGGAGAACAACTAAGGCAATTACTAATAAACTACAAACATTCATTAAGTAGTGCCTGCGCAGAATAGAGGGAATTAAATAGTATGATAGAATCATTAATGTAGAGCTTTGGGAGAGAACTAAACAGGTTCCAGTGGACCACGAGGTGAAGAAAAGATGCTGGTGTTGGATAGGACTGTCGTGAAGTGAGCAGCCAACACTACACGATGGACGAGTCGTTACTCTGACTTCCCTAGCGGGCAGTCAAATTTCAAACTTAAACCCGTCCAAAAGGGTATATAGTCCCTTATATTGATATATACCTTTATCTGGTAATATATTCATTTCTAGACCCTCTAGTTGCTTTGATAAATCTTTATTTTCAAACTTGCAACTGTAGGTTGAAGATTTCTGGTATTTAATTCAGAAATTCCTGTAAGCTGGTTTACTCCTTAGGCATGAATACAGGGAACTTCTTTCCTAGTGACGCTAAACGTAGTTTGAAGCGGGCATTTTCTGCCTGACTGCCTAGAAGAACAGATGTTCTCAAATGTGCCTCGTACATCTATGCTTTGAGGAGGCGGCCTTTGGTGTCTAGGACATTTCCTAAGCTTGGGTAAGTTGATTATAGTTTACGAGTACCATAAAATATGTCTTTTTAAAGTTGGCCACTGCTGCATAGAGGGAAGTTTCAGCTGTGTGATCGCACAGAGTTGGGCCGTTCTTGATGTCCAGAGATCAGGCTCCGAACATTAAACCTTTCCCTGTGCAGACTAAATAGTTTGTGCTCTACATAACCCACACCATTTGTAAAGATATTAAACCCTACAAGTAATTATTCTATAACCAAATGTAGGATTTGTATCAACTAATAGACACATGTAAACTGGGTCATCTTTGGCCGGCTTGATGCTGTGACAAAAGCAAGCTCGGCGCTCTGAGTCAAAGGTTATTGTTAGCACAACAAAGTGTGTATGGTGAACAGACGGGGGATGGTATAAAATATATATATATATATGTGTGTGAGAGAGAGATGGGATGTATATCTACAAGTGCGTGTGGGCGAGGAGAGTTGATGTTCTTTGTTTGATAGTCTGTCTCCACTTTGGCACTCATCTCCTGTCACTATTACTGACTGAACAATAAAGATGATATGTAGAGACTTATACTGTCTCATTATCCCCAGAGTTGTCCTCTGAATGATTACTAATGTGGATGTTAATAAACTAAGCTTGACATGTAACCCCTGAGATGACTGCTAATTCTGAGTTCCTTCTTGATATAGGATCATATCTCCTTGGAGGCCAGGCAGTGAATCAGCAGTCCACAAAACCACCTACAAGGAAGTCACCTATGTCTAAGCCAGTGGTGGGCATCAATCAGATTGTAAACCTAACTGTGGTCATCAAGTAATGAAATCCTCCAGTTGGTCTACAGACAACATTATGGGTGTTGTACCTCCACCATCATTTATCCGGCAATTTGTTTGTACCTCAAGTGTTTGACTTGGTACCTGAGATCCTCTCCAGGAGCTTGGGTGTATCTCCAGAGTACGAGTGTCTAATGTGGGGCTGTCTTGACCGTAACAACAGAGTGACTGAACATCCAGCCAGTTCAAGAAACAAGGGATTCCGATAAGTGTGGGCAATCATGGGTTTATTGCCAGGCTTCACTATTAAATGTCCACACTCATCATAAGGATGATCTAGGCAGACTCTGGAACATTCATACACGTTCAGTCAGATCGAGTTTGAAGTTTTGGTCCTTCATACAACTCTGGGTTCTTGAAGTTCTTTGCTGATTCTTATATAATGTATGTGTTACACTTATTACAGTATTTCTAAAGTTTCACTATTGACTGGAGTGTCACTCATTCATTATTCTTAGCTGTCTAAAATACATGTATGTTCAATTAATAATCTTCATCTGTGTTAACATGGTTATGATAGTATACTATCATAACCTAGGGGCTACCTTTTTATAGTAGTGGGGGTGTCCAGCCAAGTGTGCCTAGGAATATTATTTATTTTGTAGTGCCAAAGCTTGAGTTGCCCTACTTCTGAAATAAGTTGAGCGTATATTGGCCACGGGATATCCCTTAGACCAATACGAGCCAACGACTCAACATAATTATTTCAGAGTGCTGTTGGTTCTTAAGGAGAAATCCTTAAATCAGGCACGTGACAGGAGCGATATGTGACAAGGTTGAGAAAACCTGAGAACAATATGAGTGTCTTTGTACTGGAAACCACCACAGGGGCACGTAGAGAAGGGAGCTAGACAGTAAAGTTCAAAAGATAAGGCGGACATGGGGAAAGCTGCATGCGATAGTGCAGGAATGAGGGACTTGGCATGAGTTGGTTGAGGGCCTATGCTCCATGGGGGCTAGAAAGGCAGCAGAAGAAGAAGAAAGAGTGTCAAAGGAAGTCGCAGATACTGTAACAGAGAACAAATCAGACAAGATAGGAAAAGAATATCATCAGAAATACAGCAAAATGGAGAGAGTCAGATATGGTTAGAGACAGTAGAAAGACAGCACAATGGAGAGAGTCAGATATGGTTAGAGACAGTAGAAAGACAGCACAATGGAGAGATTCAGGTATGGTTAGAGACAGTAGAAAGACAGCACAATGGAGAGAGTCAGGTATGGTTAGAGACAGTAGAAAGACAGCACAATGGAGAGAGTCAGGTATGGTTAGAGACAGTAGAAAGACAGCACAATGGAGAGTCAGGTATGGTTAGAGACAGTAGAAAGACAGCACAATGGAGAGTCAGATATGGTTAGAGACAGTAGAAAGACAGCACAATGGAGAGAGTCAGATATTGTTAGAGATAGTAGAAAGACAGTGGAAGATAAGAGTCTCAGAGAATGTTATTAAGAGGAACAGAAAAAAGGGAGGTGAGAGAAAGGGTTAGAGACAGAATGAGAAGGACCCAGGAAGGTTAACCCGGTCAACAAATACCTGAGGAGGTCAGATGTGATGCCTGAAAGGCGCATAAATCGCAGGGTACATCGCAATTACATGTTCGGATGAACGAGAAGAATAATAATAATTAGAAGATAAACAGAGATAGGTTTTGGTGGGAAAGGGGGGGGGGGGAAAGAGGCAGAAAGTCATACAGAGGCACAGAGACAGGCAGAGAGAGTCACAGACACAGACAGAGAGAAAGAATCAAAGACAAAAGTTTTCAAGTATATTTTCAAGTCAAGAAATATACTTCCACCTTCCGCTTGTCAACATTACCGAAAAACTACAAGAAAAGTACTCACATTTCCCTTCATCAGCAATGGAAAAACTACAAGAAAAGTAAGAAAAGTACTCACACTTCCCTTCATCAGCAATGGAAAAACTACAAGAAAAGTACTCACACTTCCCTTCATCAGCAATGGAAAAACTACAAGGGAAGTACTCACACTTCCCTTCATCAGCAATGGAAAAACTACCAGAAAAGTACTCACACTTCCCTTCATCAGCAATGGAAAAACTACCAGAAAAGTACTCACACTTCCCTTCATCAGCAATGGAAAAACTACCAGAAAAGTACTCACACTTCCCTTCATCAGCAATGGAAAAACTACCAGAAAAGTACTCACACTTCCCTTCATCCAGCAATGGAAAAAACTACCAGAAAAGTACTCACATTTCCCTTCATCAGCAATGGAAAAACTACAAGAAAAGTAAGAAAAGTACTCACACTTCCCTTCATCAGCAATGGAAAAACTACAAGAAAAGTACTCACACTTCCCTTCATCAGCAATGGAAAAACTACCAGAAAAGTACTCACACTTCCCTTCATCAGCAATGGAAAAACTACCAGAAAAGTACTCACACTTCCCTTCATCAGCAATGGAAAAACTACCAGAAAAGTACTCACACTTCCCTTCATCAGCAATGGAAAAACTACAAGAAAAGTAAGAAAAGTACTCACACTTCCCTTCATCAGCAACTGAAAAACTACAATAAAAGTACTCACACTTCCCTTCATCAGCAATGGAAAAACTACCAGAAAAGTACTCACTCTTCCCTTCATCAGCAATGGAAAAACTACCAGAAAAGTACTCACACTTCCCTTCATCAGCAATGGAAAAACTACCAGAAAAGTACTCACACTTCCCTTCATCAGCAATGAAAAAACTACAAGAAAAGTACTCACACTTCCCTTCATCAGCAATGGAAAAACTACCAGAAAAGTACTCACACTTCCCTTCATCAGCAATGGAAAAACTACCAGAAAAGTACTCACACTTCCCTTCATCAGCAATGGAAAAACTACCAGAAAAGTACTCACACTTCCCTTCATCAGCAATGGAAAAACTACAAGAAAAGTAAGAAAAGTACTCACACTTCCCTTCATCAGCAATGCTCCATGTAAAACTTTCAGGTGTTTTGGATCGGGCTCTTCAGTTTCTGGTCACAGAGGAAAAACACAGGTCACCTCAACCACTTACACTGACTTTATTTATTTATATCTTTCACCACTAAGCGTGCATAGACTAAACTGTAAACAATGCTTTTTTTTCATGTGGAATGCCTTTCATTTGTGCAGCAGTTGAGTCGTTGTATTCAATCTAAATCTGAATGGTAGCCGGTTTATGTGTGGGCTGGTGAAATATCGCATGTAATAATTCTACGAGTGTATAGCCAACTTAGAATACCTTGGACAGCCAAAAAGAGCAACCAAGAGGTTTTGAAAGAAGCGGGAGCCCGAAGACAACTTATCACAGACATCAGAAGGAGACAGTCATCATTTTTCGGCCATGTTATGAGAAGAGGGAAAATAGAACATGTTGTGACCACTGGAAAGATCTGTGGAAAGAGGGATAGAGGATGTTGGTGTGGCATCTCTAGCAACACACACAAGACTGCCCATCAAGGAGGATACTGGGGCTTCACCATGGAACACCCAAATGTTAGCCATGAAGCTAGTCAACTGCAGCTAATCTTCAATGAGGAAATGGCACTCAGTCAACTGAACTTACTGGGCTCCTCGCATGGGTTCTGGGTCGCCCATTTTAGAGAAAGAAACACAATAAACCAACTGAACCTTAACAAGCATGTCAATGAAAGGCAACTAATTATGGGTTTGTTGTAAATTGGAGGTATCACAGCCTAGCTGTAAACCACAACCCAACATGCCAACTGCCTTTTTAAAGGCGAACACAGGCAAAGAAAAAGGAGAAGAAGGGGAGGAGGATGAAGAAGAAGAAGAGGAAGAAGAAGACAAAGGCGGAGGAGGAGGAGAAGAATTAGGAGGAGGCAGAAAAGAAAATATAGAGAAGAAGATGAAGAAGCAGCAGAAAAAACAAAGAAGAAGAAGATGAAGAAGCAACAAAACTAAACTACACCATGGATATGAAAAAGGTTCCTGTACTGTAACCTGACCGGTGTCATCCTCTCAGCCAATCTGAAGATAGCAGCAGCCGACAGAAGGGCACACAAATACCGGGAAGAAAAAGTAGCAGAAGAAAACAAAAAAAAAAGAAAAAGAATCCCAAGGGATAGGGGTGGGGTGGGGTAGACAACAAAGAAGTAGAAAAGGAAAAAAAACATTAGGCAGGCTGACGATTAGGCTAACATAAAAAAAAAAAACTGTTACCTTCGGCTGGGACCAGCTGCCTCTTCAGCAGGTTTAAGGATGTGTCCAGAGGGATGTTGTGTACAGTTTTTATGTAGCTGGTTTCTCCATTCTCTGGCATGAAACAGTCAATACCTGCAACAATCAATCATGGCCATCACCCATGTATCATTGCAACAATCAATTATGGCCATCACCCATGTATCATTGCAACAATCAATCATGGCCATCACCTATGTATCATTGCTGCAATCAATCATGGCCATCACCCATGTATCATTGCAACAATCAATTATGGCCATCACCCATGTATCATTGTAACAATCAATCATGGCCATCACCTATGTATCATTGCAGCAATCAAACATGGACATAATTCATGCAACACAGCAACAAATAATCATGGACAGCATTCACGTAACACTGCAACAATCAAATATGGACAGCATTCATTTAACACTGCAACAATCAATCATGGACAGTATTTATGCAACACAGCAACAATCAAGCATGGACAGCATTCATGCAAAACAGCAACAATCAAGTATGGACAGCATTCATGCAACACTGCAACAATCAAGCATGGACAGCATTCATGTAACACTGCAACAATCAAGCATGGACAGCATTCATGCAACACAGCAACAATCAAGTATGGACAGCATTCATGCAACACAGCAACAATCAAGTATGGACAGCATTCATGCAACACAGCAACAATCAAGTATGGACAGCATTCATGCAACACAGCAACAATCAAGCATGGAGAGCATTCATGTAACCGTGCAACAATCAAGCATGGACAGCATTCATGTAACATTGCAACAATTTCTTATTGCTTTTCACGTTCACTGGCTGTAAATTCTGAAGGTAGGTTTTGCTTGTTCATCTATTTTTAGACTTTACTCTTGATCCAGAACTTGAATTCTCCATGCACATCCATTTTACAGGAGAGGCTTATTTGTATGCAGACTGTTTGTCCAACACCTGTCAGGCATACGCACTATGACTTCAACAAAAACAACAACAAAAACATCCCTCATTAGCTGTATTTGATAACATGCTTGTTAGGAGAGCAACGGATGTATTCTTTAACCCCCTGCCCACCAATGACAAGTGAACAATGACCCATGACCAATGAAAGGTGAACAATGAAATAAGAATAAGGAACCATGAACAATAAACAACATGTGAAGAACAACTCTCGGTCACATACCAAACTCTTGTTGGATTTTGTTCTTGAGGAACGCCATCTTCTCTGCCTCACCATGCACAAGGAGAACATTCCTGGGCTCACAGTGGGAAATCAGCTGCATGATGCCCTTGGCATCTGCATGGGCACTGAAGGACATATACTCGACAGCCATTTTGACTTCCAGCTGCAACAGATGAGAACAGACATTAGTGGGACTCTGCATTCAACAGTAGAAATGTACACACAGATTTTATATTCACAGGACACAATCGACTTCACAGCCACATGTAAAAAAAATTTGAAATCGGCATATCAGCCATGTGCACATGTGGAATGGCACCCGAGATAACAGATCATGTCCTCCAAGACTGTCCCAAACACAACATATGAAGGCAAAACTTTTGACCAAGAGAAACATCGGTGGAAGTCAAATTTACGGGTTGCTGAGTGAATCACATACACACACACAAAAACATTGCAGATAAGATAATTTATTTCAAGCAATCGAAAGAAAAAGAAGATTTTATATTTTGTTATGTCATCACTATTTGAATCACTGCACATGATCTATCTACTCATCTCATCTAAAAAGATTTATAGGTTACTTTGTAACTGCTAGAAATCCTATATAACTCTTCATTCTGCTGAACAGGGTTTCCGAGATTTGCTTCAACTGGATTCTCATTTGAAATTGTGTCTCCTCGAGTCACTGGGTGTCAATCTTTCAGTATGCAATCCTAGAGGGGGAAAATAAAAATAATAATCATTGCACACAGGACATTCCCATGTGTGCACAGTCCTCCAAAGCAACAGCCATTCCGAGAAACTGATTTTTCCCATGAAAAGATGGTAATAATTCTTCTTTCATCTGTTACTCCTGCCCCTTGTTAGGCTGCCCTCATGTATCCACCGGCTGCAACACAGCTCGCCCTACCGCTATCCTTCATTTCAGCTGAAAACGACATTCAGGTATGATTGAAATGTAGGCCTAAATACTAGTAGTGTTGGCGTCTATGGCTTAGGTATTGCGAACGCGCTTCGTAATGCCGGGGTGCTAGGTTCGAACCCAGCTGTGGACAGTTTGCCTTGCATTGGTTTTGACAGTGGTACCGAAAGATGACCACTCAGAAAGCAATGGCAAACTACTGAACATAAAATGCCTAGAAAAACCACAACAGCCAACAAATGCTGGTGTTGGTTCAAGGATATGCAACTAACTATTTTTAACTACTGTAGTATATTTATACAAGAGGTGAAGTCCCTCCACAACACACCCAAAAACCAAACTACAACAGATGATCAACTGCCCCTTTACCGAAAACGACCGCTGCATTTAAAATGAAAGTAGCCAGAAACAGCCTAACTGCTGACAATCATAGGTCTTCTACGATAGTTCATTTTATTTCTGATTCTCCCATTACAGCGGGTAAACTTCAAGGCTTATCGTCCTTTCAAGAGTGAAATCAAGTCTTCCAGGGCAAGGACAATTCAAGTTTTCAACGTCCGCTATCAACTCAGCACAATGTTATCAATCACCACTTTAAGAGAGAATGAAGAAGAAGATTATATCATGTGATGTTATTACATCTTTACATTTGGTCTAAAGACATTAAAGAAATCCAGTAAAAACATTACTTTAAAAAAAAAACTTACCATCTGCTTGTTCTCAAGTTCAATCTTCCGTGCTCCGTTAAGGATTCTGTGTCCTACTGTCCCGGCCACACAATATCCAGGCATTATTACCTAAGGAAATATACACCAAACAGATTGTAGAAAAAAAAACACAACTTGCATCAAATTTGCTGAGAAGCAGAAGATCAAATGATTTGGTCATCTCATTAGAATGGAACCAGAGCTAAAACTACCAGCTCAAAACCTAAAAAGATATGATGTGAAAGCAAGAGGATGACCAAGGAGATGATGGACTCATGGCATTAAGGACACTCTTATATAAATGATGCTCCACACCATGATGCCAAACTGTCTAACATTTACTCTCTTGGTCTCCCTCAATCTCTTTTCCCCTCCAATTTTCTTTTTGTCATGATATACTTTAGATTTCCCCTTTTCATGTGACAAAAGGATGTAGATTTTCTCTTTCCGGTGTTTATATTCGGTTCTCTTTGTCACAACTCTTGATGACATAGATTTAGTTTTTTCTTTGCCACAACTCTTGATGATACAGATTTAGTTTTATTTGCCACAACTCTTGGTGACGCAGATTTAGTTTTATTTGTCACAACTCTTGATGACACAGATTTAGTTTTCTTTGGCACAAATCTTGATGACATAGATTTAGTTTTCTTTGCCATAACTCTTGGACTTAAGGCATTAAAGACATTCTCATATGTGGAATGATACTCTGGCACTGACCAGAAAAACTTACAAAACAGAAACCATTACCATATTATTTTCGCTTGATGCCCAGCGCTTGAAGATTTGCAGGGACAAGCCAGCATGCAGCATTCCTGGTGTGGCAAACACAACCATCGGGCCAGGGTTTTCTATGTAAGCTCTGTCGAAGGGCTGTAGATCAATAGGCAACAGTTATCAGAAAATTATGTAAGGTATGGAGCAAAGGTGGGGAAATTACACTGATACTAAATAGGACCCTCAGTGGAAAAAAAAAAAAAAAAAAACTGCATGGAGGGTGTGAGAGAGAGTTGTGAAAGAAATGCATGTGAGATGGGGATAATTTGAGGAGACGGGAAGGTGGGGGGACAAAGAGGCAAAGGGGTAAGGGCAGGGATTTATCGATTATATTGTCCCCTTCAGGATGCTACCTTAAGGTTTACCATACCACCATACTACCATACCACCTGAGATTAAAAATCTCAATCTAGAGAGCAGACCCACAAGGCAGATCCAAGATACCCCATTCAACCTCCAAAGAAGTTATACTTCTAGTATTGTATACACTAGTAACGATCACACCCGTCTGGTGTATTCGCAGTCCTACACAAGTAAGGACAAGCACAGGGAGAGAAGAGAGAGATAGACAGAAAGACAAAAAGGGGAGAAATATATTCAGAGATAGATAGGGAGACATACAGAAACAGAGTGAGATATATAAAGAGAAAAAAGGAGAAAAAGAGAAATAGAGACATACACACAGAGCATACACATATATCTATAAATCAGAAACATACAATATACAAATCCAGTAAAACTAATATTCTCTAGCGGCACATATGTTTTTGGACACATCATTTACACGAGCACACCCATGTGTGGGAGTGTTAAGAATAGAATTCTCTCTAACAAGCATGGCACAAAAGGCGATTAATGAGTGGTTAGCTAAAAGTGGAAATGTTGGACCCGAAAAGCCGCAGATATCACAGTATAACTGCAAACCACAAGGTGGCAACCACCTGTCTAGAAGAAAAAGAACAGATGAGCACATCTAGGAGGGGAAGTCAATAAGTAAGTCACACAACTTGAAAACCGTTTATTTTTACACATGCACTGTCCCCTTATTTTTCAACATAATTTCCACCAACATGATGCACTTGTCCCATTGTTTTATCGGTCCTCCCAAACAGCAAAGAACTGTGTGCTCTGTTTCCTAAACCACATTTTCACTTCGCATTCAACTCCTGCGTAATCTGCTAAATGTCTCCCGCCATGGTGGGTTTATTGTGGACAAAAAAAAGGTGGAAATCCCTAGGGGTTATAAGGTGGATATTCCACAAGTTCTTCCTCCTCTAGATGGTTAATTTTCTCCTGAGTTAACCGAGTCGTATGTGGTCTGGCACTGTTATGAAGGAGCAGTACTCCTCTAGTCTGCAGGCTGGACATTTTCTTCAAACTGCATCATGAGGCATCGGTAGAACTTTACAGAATGAATCATAATTCACATTGTCAATTTTGTTGTCGTTGAAACTGCTTGAAAGCACTTCTTGACAATCCCAGAACACTGTCAGCATAACCTTCCCTGCTGATGGCGTAACCTTTGAATTTTTGAACACACTGTGAAGAAGGACGTTTCCATTGCATTGAAGTATGCTTTGATTAGGGCTGGTAGTGATGCACCCATGATTCGTCTCCAGTAATAATCCTGTTCAGCATGTCTTTTTTTTATCTGCGTATCACGCAGAGATGCCCCAAGGACAGGCCTAATGGGTTCATCTAGTGTTCGTCCATCAATTATCTGGGTACTCACCTTGAGCACACTTTCTTCAATTTCAGCCGATCATGCATTATGCTGTATGCTGAAGTATCTGAGCACCCTACTGCAGCTGCGAAAGAGCCAACCATTACTCGCATGTCACCTCTATTCATCTCCTCCACCCGCTGCATGGATGCGTCTGTTGCAATCTCAACAGGACAACCAGATGGGACTTCATCAAAAATCGCACAGCGCCCTTGAAAATTTTTTTTTAAAACCCAGCAATGCTCTGCTTTACGGGATAAACATTTGTCAGCATAAACAGGAAGCATTTTCTTATGAATGTCCTTTGCAGGCAGCCCTTTTGCCCCCCCCCCCCCCACTACAACATGTTGTTCCTTGAGGGTACACTTCATAAACTCAGTCACCATTCTGTTTCTGTGTTGCGAATGCGCATGCAACACCTAGCACCACCTAAAGAAGGGAGACATAAAGTTCAATGTTGCTGTCACCTAACGACACCTTCAGGAACCACCAGCTACATTTTCCTGCCATCCCATAACCATTTGTGACTTACTTACTGACTTCCCCTAGTACATAATACAAAACCTGAGAGTCCAGATAAATAATAAAAATTCGACCTCGATGTGGATTTGCACTCACCTTTATGTGTTTGAAATCAAACATATTTCGCTGAACGAAGGTCTTCTTGATCTTCTCACTGGTCCAGGTAATGTACAATTTGTAGTAGTGGTTGGCCTGTATGAAAGTGAATTCACAATATGGTAGAATTAATACATTGAAGTCACAAACTCAAGCATCATTATCTGGTAGTCTTAGTTTCAGCTTCATAGCAAATGGATCACCCCATCGTTGCTCTGCTCCTGTGCCAATGAAAAACACATAGAATGTTTATCACAGTCATTTGTGGAACGATTGACAGACTGCTGTCTCAGCATATCTAGCATACACACGCATTAAAGCATATGGTAGCCATCCGAATTGCTAACACAAACAGTCCAAAATTAGAAATGCAGTTCATCATTGATGGTAGCAGAAGTCACCAACAGATCAGCAGTTGCACACGCGATCAATTCTAATCACATATGGGCACCACCAACATTGCGACGACAGGCATCGCACCATTTTCTAAATCTACAATTCACACCATCACGTTGGTTACAGCAAAAAAAAAAACACATTCCAAATGAAATCCGCTGCTCACAGTGTCACGCCATGAATTCAACTCAGAAGCTGGGCGACGAAACTATATCCAGTCTATAAATGGAGCAAAACTGCAACGGCAGAAGCAAAAAATTTTCCTCTGCTCCAAACAGTACTCCTGTCTAGCGTCCATTTTAACCGGAAGTCAAACATCATTATGCCAGGTTGTACTACTGTTAGGGGGTGGAGTGGCATCAAATTGTAATGTTCATTTCTAACTTAAGCAGGTGCTTCTTCTTCTTCTTCTTTGTGTTCACCAGCTGTAAACTCTGCTGGAAAGTTCTGGTTGTTCTTCCACTTCTGGAATGCATTCCTGCCCCAGAACCTGAGTATGCGTGTGCATCCGTTTGACAGACCTGACACATTTATGTGCAAACTGTTGGTTCCTTGCCTCTAAAGCAGATGCACTTCGACTTTGAAGGAAGCTCCAAATTAGTCGACTCTTACAAAATGCTTCTGGGTAGGCAGTGAGTCTGTTCTTGTTTTCCCTATAATAGGGCCCCAGAACACACACCATATTTGCACCATATTATCACTATCAAGTGCCTTGCTGATCAGCGTGGGCAACCTTTAACAACATGTAACAGTTTGTGACATCCCTCCATGTCATGACAAAAGGCTGTTAAGAAACATCTTGCGTTGTGGTTCTGTCACTTTTCCCCCACAGATCTTTCCAGTGGTCACAGCATGTTCCAGTTTCTTTCTTCTCATAACATGACCAAAAAATAATGACTGTCTCTTTCTGATGTTTGCAAAAAATTGTCTTTGAGCCCTCACCTCTTTCAAAGCACCTGGGTTGCTCTTTTTTGATGTCCAAAGAATTGTAAGGAGTGTTTTGTAAAACCACATCCCAAAAGCCTCAAGAAATTGTTTAGTTTGTTCATTAAATGTCCAGGATTCAAAATCATATGTTAAAACTGGTGCTATATAGGAGGTGAGAACTTTTTTTTTTAACGCCTAATGACATGATTTATTGCATGAGGTTCTTCATTATATTAGATGCAGTTTTGAATGTCCTATTTGCACCTATATGCTTAATATTTTTTTAAAAGGATCTTTTACTATTAAAAAAAAAAAAAAAACATTTTCATCAATCACAAATCAAACATGCTCTCCCCATGTGGGTTCTGGAGCTCCATTCAGGGAGGAAAGAAAGAACAGCCCCACTACCCATAACAAGCATGTCAGAAATGGTGACTAATTAGGACTGGACTACAAGGCATAGATATCACAGCCTTGCTGTAAACCCCAGTACATCATGCAAACTATCCTTTTGAGGGTGAATACAGAAGATATAGAATTAGAAGAGTGAAACAAGAGTCGCATAAAATCACAATGGAGATGATACTTTTTCTTCTTCTTTGTTCACTGGCTGTAAGCTCCGGCGGAAAGTCCTGGTTGTTTGTCTGTCTGGACTTAAGCTTTGTGCCAGAGCCTAAGTTTTTGCGTGTACATTTGTTTTACTGGCTCATTTGTGTACAACTGGTTGTTCCTTGCCGCTCAGGTAGATGCACTCCGACTTTGAAGGAAGTCCCCAGTTGGTCGACTCCTAAAATATGCTTGTTAAGGAGACAGTGGGTCTATTCGTGTTTTCCCCATGGGGCCCTGGAACCCACACGGGGAGGAGCGACACTCTGAAAAGGGAAAAAATCTCCTGGGCTAACCTCATTAAGGAGTGATCTCCCACAATCTTGGCAAAGATTCACAAAAAAGCAATGATAACGACCAGTACAGGCAATAAACTGTGAACTAGACCTTACAAAAAAGCAATTATAACGACCAGTACAGACAATAAACTGTGAACCAGACCTTCTCTGTCAGCCCCAAGGAGAAATAAATGGGAACTTTGAGGTTCATGCGCTCCCAGTAGGACTCCAGCAGAATACACAGCTCCTGAGCTCGGCCGAGGGCAAACACTGGAATAAGGATCTGAGAAGAAAAAGACGAAATGTATCTCTTCTCTTTCATTCTGTTAGTATTAACTCATTCATCTCTTACTTTGTAATTTCTCTTATCTGATAGGATGCAGACACACACACACACACACACAAAAAAGGAAATCAGTATGTGTGCGGTTAATACAAAGCACCCTGCAATATGCTTGTTTGATCTCAAAGAATTCCATCTGCGAATGTGTCAAGTGACATAAAGAACACAGCTTCTTATTAGCCTTTAAAGGCTGTAAACTCCAGGGGACATTTCTGTTTGTCTATTTCTAGACTTTGATCTTCTTCCACAGTTTGAGTTTTGTGTGCACATCTGTTTTACAGATCTGGCTTATTTGTATGCAGACTGCTAGTTCCTCACCTCTCAGGCAGATGCACTCTGACTTCAAAGAAAAAAATCTCTAATTAGTCACCTTGTACAACATGCTTATTAGGTAGGCGGTGAGTCCCCCCCCCTCCCCCCGAACATGAAAGAACATATAAATCACTACCAGTATACGTCTGAGTCGACATCAACTAGGTGAGAACTCACAGCTGGATGATTTTGTAGATGATACTGTTCTGCTATGCTAAGTAAGAACAGCGATGACATGCAATGAAAAACAGATGATTTAACAAATATTGATCTACCTGTTCCCCCTTCTCCCCTCCCCCCAAAAAAAATTGGGCTTTGGAGCCTACGAGGAGAAACTCCGTATAAGAAATACGGATACATACTTAAATTATTTTCGCGCAACACTCCACACTAATGTTGTGTCACAACACACTAATGTATCTGGCACAACACACTAATGTTAAGCCATGACACACTTATGTCGTGTTGTGACGCATTAATGTTGTGTCATGACACACTAATCTTGCGTCGCGACACACAGTTTGGAGACACAGACATTGATAAACATTACAGGGAATGTAGGGGGGGGGGGGGGGGGGTTTGTGTTAGACCCAGTTTGTCCATGTTTTTGGAGTGTTAAAAGCGCTGGCATGTTGAAATATACAACATGCGATATCAACAGCATTGCGGAACACCCCTGTAACCTTGTGCAAAGGTCATGTGGCCCAAGGTCTACTAACCAAACGTGAGCTAGTGGGTATACGGGCCGGATCTGGGGAGTGAAACATTACTTTTACCTTTCCTCCTTTCTCGATACAACTGTGAACCTTTTTCAAAAAGTCTCTCTCTCTGCAACGTTTGGAATCTCGTATGGTAGTGGCATATGTTGACTCTGTGATCAGGAGGTCCGGACGGCATTTGTCGATCCACGCTGCCCCCAAATGTCTATCTGGTGTCATGTTGTAATCACCCTGAAAGGAGATTATTCTTATAAAAACTCAATTGGAGGAAAAGGATGAAGACAGGGGAGCAAGGGGGAGACAGTGATATAAATGGGAGGATAATATTGACAGACAGATGAACAGCAGCAAAGGGAATGAGCAATCAGGATGAGAGACAGTGTTGGAGATCCAATGTGGCCTGCAGATGTGGTCAAGGCCCTTTGGGAACAATCAACAAGATTATTATGGCCTGGAGAGAATGAGGCACCTGGGTGTAACCAGAGGGTCTGGCCGGCTCACTACACTCAGAGAAAAGGCAAGACGGACATATAACCAGATTGTGACCGGTACCATCAGTACTGGAACTCTGCACTGGCTGCTGAAGATGAGGACGGAGCAAGCAAGGGAATGCCCCGAGTGCTGTGATGTCAATTCTTGACTCAACTCAACTCAGCTGTGGCCAAGTTTACTGAGGCAGCTGTAATAGCATCAGGTGAAGGATACTTTTTCATGAGGATCCTGGGGTGTAAATGGAACTGAATGCTGAAGGCTGAATTAAGAATCAACATCATAGTACTCGGGACACTCCCATGCGTGCTTCGTCCCCCCATCTTCAGCACCAATCAAAGAGTTCCAATTCCGATGGCACCAGTAACTGTCTGATGGTATATGCCTTTCCCTTCAGCGTTGAGAGTCTGCCAGGTCCCTTGTAACTCCTCACAGCTCCATTCTCCTCACACCATAATGATCTATCGGTGCCTCGGCACTGTTCACTCGCTCTCAAAGGGATCATAGAACATCTAGCTTGTCATACACATCAATTCACCACCAAGTGGTGCAGAACCGGTCACTCTATCTGGCTGCTCATTTCCCAACACACCAGCATGACCTAGGGAAAATATCCAAAGGATGCTAACTAGAGTGAAAATTATCTGTCCTCACCAAGAAGAAAGAAATACCAAAGCGTGACATACACACAAACAGCAACATTCTTAAGCAAGTCAACTGAAACAAATATCTTGCCCCCCGTGTGGGTTCCCGGGGCCCTATTATAGGGAAAACAAGAACAGACTGCCTACCCCAAAGCATGTCGTAAGAGTCGACTAATTGGGAGCTTCCTTCGAAGTCGGAGTGCATCTGCCTAAGAGGCAAGGAACCAACTGTCTGCACACAAATGTGTCAGATCTGTCAAACGGATGCACATGCAACACTCAGGTTCTGGAACAGGACTGCAGTCCAGAAGTCGACAAACAACCAGAGCTTTCCACCGGAATTTACAGCTGGTGAATGCGAAGAAGAAAGAAGAAGAAGAAATATCTTGGAACAGTCACAACATCAGATGCAAGATGCCATTAAGAGATTACAATAAAAATCATCATGGCAAAAGTAACTTTCAATTCTCTTATGCCTAGTGGCACATGAGGCTTCAGAGAGGACTTTCCATGCATTCCTGTCCTGTGCAATCTTCAGTGCAGTTTTCAATGTCAAAGATGCTTCACTCAGGTCACTTTCCATCGTTCGTCTCCATGTATTTTTTGGGCGCTCCTCCTTTCTCTTTCCCTCTGGTGTCCATGTGAGAGGTGTTTTGGTAGGTATATCAGGATTCATTCTCATAACGTGGCCAAGCAATTTTTATCTTCTCTTGGTTATCATACTGTCTAGAGTTTCTTTGTGTCTTGAAGTAGTTGAGTGTTTGAGATTGTAGATGGCCTGACAAATTTCGATAATTCTACGTAGACTTGTATGGTGGAAGGTGGATAGTTTGTGTGCATCCTTTTTGGTCATTCTCCAGCATTCTGCTTCATAAAGAACTGGAAAAATGATGCTCTTGTAGAGTTGGAGTTTTTTCCTCTGCAGTAACTGTTGGATTTCCAGATTTGCCTCATCCTTCTAAAAGCAGCTCTAGCTTTGTTCAGGCGTGACTGTATGTCTTCATCTGTCCCTCCTAGTAGGGACATCACACTGCCGAGATATGTAAGAGTGACCTTTAGCAAGATGAAAAAGATACCAACCAACAAGAAGATGTCAGCTTCAGTGAGACAAAGAGTGTTAAAATGCTATGTAGAACCTATGTTGTCATATGCATGTGAGACCTGCAGACAGGATGACAAATATTAGGTCATAAAATTATTAGAACAATCATCCCCGTGTGGTTTCCGGGACCTCTTCTTCTTTTGTCAAAATCTGCTTGTGCCGCTAGGCGTCGCAGTCTATCAGATGATCGGCAACCGAGCCAGGGCGCGCTCAGTCGCTTCATATGCCGTGATGTTATGAAGGTTTGATGGATTTTCTAATCTCATATATTGTTTCTAGAGCAGATTTTTGTGAACTGCTCTAGAAACCGGGACCAACTGTGTGAAAAACAAGAATAGACCCACTGCCTGCCCAAAAGCATGTCATAAGAGTCGACTAATTGGGAGCTTCCTTCGAAGTCGGAGTACATCTGCCTGAAAGGCAAGGAACCAACAGACTGCATGCAAAAAACTCAGACCTGTAAAATGGTTGTACAAGCAACACTCAGTTTCAGGAACAGGACTAGAGTCCAGAAGTGGATGAACAACCTGAACTTTCCCGTCGGAGTTTACAGCTGGCGAATGGGAAGAAGAAGAAGAAGATTAGAATAATCAGACTTAGCCTAAGCTTATCTGCACTGCACATGATGACGACGGCACACTGGGCACATGATTCTATACTCACATTCATACAGACCAGTTGGCACTCAGTGGGTGATGTGATCAACATCCTGCCCACCTCCTTTACTTCCCATGTGACTGCCTAAGTTAACCTGGCAGCCAAGGTAACTTTTTTCTTCCAAATCTGGCTGCAGTGGATCACCCTATCTCGTCGGGCATGAGATTTCATGCTGGCTCCCATTCATGAGGTAGCAGTTCCCATGGGCTGTCCCATGTTTTAGAGGCCTTAGGATATGCGTTCCTTCGCCTTCTATACACTGTGTGCATAAGCACCTCTCGTTTATTCGAGCGCCTACATGAAACTGTTGAGCTCTCTTTTCGTGGCAGGCGACATTGAGCAACTGTTGCTTTCGTGTGTGTGCACGCGAGCGAGCGAGTGTTCGGCTAGTTTTGGTTTCTCTGTCAACTAGATCTTTTGTGTGGCTGTCACTGGTTTGAGAATTGGTGACATGATGAGGCGGGCCCTTGGTCAAGTCAATAAGTAAGGCTGCAGTGATAGTGATGAAGAGTGAGCACACAACGCAAGTAACACACACAGTGCCGACTGCTCACTTCATAGAAAATTAAACGTGCAGGCCACTCACAATGTGGAATATAGAACGCTCAAAGCATTGAAATAACAAAACATGACAGTCCTAGAACACATGATAGCCTGTGGGAAATCTTGCCCCCGACGAGATCGGGTGATTTCAGTGACATGCATGGACGAGTGTCTTGCTACAAGGCTACCTTGGTTCCCAGTTGACAAAGACAATTAATCTCACTTAAAGCATATACAACTTACACTGCATACTGCAAACTCACAAAGCAGACTAAAAACTGACAGCATACAATAAACCTGCAGTGAATACAACAAATCAACAGCATATACAACAAACTTGCAGTATACAAAACATACTGACACCAAATACAACTAACAGCATATAAAACAATTAATGTACACAACAAACTTACAGTGTATAAAACAAACTTACAATACACACACACACACACACACACAAAAACCAATGTAAACAAAACACTACAGTGTGTACAACAAACTTACAGTGTATAAAACAAACTTACAAAACATACACACACAAAACAATGTAAACAAAACACCTACAGTGTGTACAACAAACTTACAGTGTAAACAACAGAATTCTGACCAACTTTGATATGAAACATGGCGGCCCCTAGAACATGACCAGCATAGTATGCCTTTATCTCTAAATCCTCATCTACCTGTGAAGAGGGGATATGAAAGAAGGAAAAAATTTATTTGCTTGCAATAAAAAAGCACTGGGCACACATAATATTAAAGGTTCCTGGTGTGGGGTCTTAGGGTCCACTTTGTGCGTACATGGGGGTGGGAGAGGGAGAATGGATCCACTGCCTCCCCCCACCCCCTTTTCCAACAAGCATGTCATTAAAGTTGACTAATTAGGGATATTTCCTTCAAAGTCGGGGTGCACCTGCCTTAGAGACAGGCAAGGAACCAACATACAAATAAGTGGATGTGTGCAAAACTTAAAGTTATGGAACAAGACCCAAGTCCAGAAGTGGATGAACCAACAGACCTTTCTGCTGGATTCTACAACTAGTGAATGCTAAGAAACAGATTTTGTTTCCTATTTTCACTGTAACACCTACATGTCTTAATGAAAATAGCTGAATTAAATGACGGTTGGCTTCAGTGTTCCCACTGCTGTCTTTGAGAATATTTCTTAATATTTTCGGTCAATGTGGCGGATAGGAAGTATACTGTTTTTAGCTGTGGCAACTTTCTGCTTCTGAAAACAGTTAACCATTGCAATTTCCTCCATAAATAGACCAAAAGGATATAGTTCCGTATCCTAGCTACTGAGTTGAGGGTATGGCGTGACACTCTGAGTTTTGGATTTAATCCAGAATGCTTTTTGACTGTTTCTAACTGAGGCCCTTATATAACTCTTGCATGATGCGACTTAAGTACCATGACCCAAAAACCATAAAAAGCAGTTTGTTAAAAAAAAAAAATAAACAGTAGTAAAAAAAAAAAAACTATAAGTATATGAATAAAACTAACAACTGAAACAGGTTGGTCATCTGATGAGAATGCCCTGGTTCAAACCATAACATAGCAATGAAAAAGTATGATTAAGAAAAAAGATAAAGGGGAAGACTTTACAAAGAATGAAAGAATGGTATCCAGAAAAGTGTTAGAGCAATGAAAACCAACTGATACAGTGCCTGGGAAAAGAACACACAGATGATCCTGACCATCTCCCCAACTGTACAGGACCCTTTTCCGCAGCTTTATGTGTATTGAGCATATAGGGTTAGACCTATATTTTATAGACCAATCGGCACTTGGTGGTTGATGTGGTCAACATCACGCCGGCCACCTTTACTTCCCAAGACTCGTACCTGGTACCCACTCAAGGCTGGGTTGACCTCGGCGCCAGTGTTATTTTTGAAAGAAAAAAAGGACGTTTCATCAGGTTCAGAACACATGACCTTCTGATTCTGCAGGCAAGCGTCTAGCCGCTACACCACGGCCACTCCATTTGTTGGTGTAACTGGAAGAAAAAGGAGAAGGAGAAGAGGGAGGTGAAAAGGGAGAGAAAGGAATATGGGAGGAATAGAGAGGCAGAAATAGATTAAGAAGGAGAAGATGAAGAAAATAAAGATGAAGTAGTAGAAGATGAAAAAGGAGAAGATAAAGGTAAAAGGTAAAGTCGGGAGATGTGAACCAGCGTCACTGCACACGGTTATAAACCATAAGTGCTCTGCCACCAGTACGGACAGCTGATAAAAATTGTCCGCTTGTGTCGCCGATCGCACGTAACTCTGTAGCTACAGCAATGTTCCTCCATTTACCCCAGAGTATCACTCTGGTACCCATTTCCTAGAGGCTGGGTGAACCCCGGGAGCCGTCCAGTTTTGAACACCGACCGTAGGCTGCAGCGAGTCGCAGCTGGATTTGAAAGCGAGCTTCTTATCGACTGTGATAATGCTCCCCCCCCCCCCCCCCCCCAAAGGAGAAGATGAAGAAGTAGAAGATGAAGAAGTAGATGATGAAGAAGCAGAAGAAGAAGTAGTAGAATTAACAATGTTTATATATATCTATATACTGATAGAAACAAAAGAAACTACCTGAATAACTTGGTGTAAATTGACAGTGATCACTTTCTTCATGCAAGTTTTGATCATTTCTGATGTGAAAAAGTTTGTCTCTCCTTTCTTCTCCACCGTAATTTTGCGGTAGTCCTCCTATATTCAATGATGCAATCAAAATACACAGATGAAAACAAAAATTTTACATCAGATTTAGTGAAACAATTCAAATAATTCATACTTGAGACAGCAGAGCACAGTGCTTAGATGCTTGCTTGTCCACCTGGAGGTCTTGGGTTGAAATCTGCATCGCCCCTGTGTGGGTTCCAGTGCCCGGATATAACATGTGACTAAAGAGGGGTTTGCTGAGATTGAAAAGTGCTGTAAACTACAACATAACATACCAACTACCCTTTTAACGATTCTTCTTATATTCCATGCTGTGTGGTTTTGGTATGCATGTCCATCCACAACGTTCTGTCTTGTGTACTTTCAATCAATTCAGACACAGATGATCTTTCATAGTCCAAACTGTGCATCGTTGGTAGTCATGTCGATCCACAACCTTCTGTCTTGTGTACTTTCAATCAATTCTGACACAGATGATCTTCCATAGTCCAAACTGTGTATCGTTGGTAGTTATGTCAATCCACAACCTTCTGTCTTGTGTACTTTCAATCATTTCTGACACAGATGATCTTCCATAGTCCAAACTGTGTATCGTTGGTAGTCATGTTATCCACAACCTTCTGTCCTGTGTACTTTCAATCAATTCAGACACAGATGATCTTTCATGCCATGATGTCAGTCAAACTCTACAGCATCTTTTCTCTCTGTCTTTCTCTGTCTCTTTTCCCCTGCAACTTCCCACAGTCATGATGTACTCCAGTTTTCTCTTTTGTATGAATAAGAATAAGAATGAAGGATTTCAAGCTGACCCAGCCTAAAAGGGGTATCAGAAAATGTCATTGGAAGTTAAGATTGCTGATGAGATGTTGACTATCCAGAGCCGAGTGATCTAGAAAAATCTGTGCATAGCACCACATGTCTAATGCATCACTGACGAGAAACAGATTCTTTACTATACTTTCACTACTAGTGGTTGCTGTTAATACTTCTTCTTTTTCTTCTTCTTCTTGTTCTGCATACATTAGTTGGGAACTCTGGCAGAAAGTCCTGCTTGTTGATGCAAATTCTGGACTTTGTGGTTTTGTTCTTGCATCAGGGTTCATAGCCAAATTTACGAATCAATTACAAGGCTTTTCAAGGTACCCTTAGTTTTCAAGGTTGTCTCGGAGAAATACTGAAACAAGGTATTTTTGCCTTGTTCAAGGGTGTACCGAGCACACAAAGGTACTTCATTCGTACGCACACATGCGGGTATACCAGCACATATATAGTGCTTTTAAATTGTTTGTAGACTTAGTGGTAGAGGGGAGCAAACTGAAGTCCTGTCTGTTCTTCCAGACTGCAGGAACAGCAAGTTAAAAATGGCTGTGGCCAGACAGGAGCACTATGCAGGAAGCTAAAGAAGAATAATAATCCAACACAGAACTGGTGTCGTGAGCCGCTACACGCAGTGGGATTTACTGAGGAGGGGATCTGCGCACTTATGGACTGAACAGTTCAATGTGTAATAGCTGATGTAAACCTGTTGAATAACTAACTTACATTCATTTTACAGATCTTCCCATGTAAGTTCTGGGGCCGGGGGAAGGTTGTTACAGACCCACTGCCTAGCTAACAAGTATGTTGTAGAAGGCGACTAACTATGGATTTTTCCTCTGAAGCTGGACATCTGCCTGAGAGGCTGGAAACCAACAGTCTGCATATAGGTAAACTAGATCTGTAAAACAGATGAGTATGCAAAATTCAAGATCTGGAACAAGACATAAGTCCAGAAGAGGTAGAAAACCAGAACTTTCCACCAGAGTTTACAGCCGGTGAAGGCTAAAAAGAAGAAGTTTTACAGATCCAGATTACTGTGTGCAGACAGTTGGTTTCTTGATTCTCAGGCATTTGCACTCTGACTCTGAAGGAAGGAAACGTTGATCCTATCAATGTTGGGCTGGCACCCAGCAGTAAACCTGTTTCTAGGATAATCACGGAGAGGTGCTGCTAGGTCCTGAACTGTTAGAGTCCCCACTGTGGTTCACCACCGCACACGGAAGCACAGAAACCAGTTGCAGAGCAAAGAAAGAAGATATGCCTCCCCGTATGAGTTCCGGGGCCCCTTTGCGGGGGTGAAAACAAGAATAGACCCACTGCCTCCCCAAAAGCATGTCATAAGAGTCGACTAATTTGGGAGCTTCCTTTGAAGTCAGATTACATCTGCCTAAGAGACAAGGAACCAACAGTCTGCATGCAAATGAGTCAGATCTGTGGAAAAGATGTGACGCAACACTCAGTTTCTAGAACAGGACTAGAGTGCAGAAGTGGAGGAACAAACAGAGCCTTCTGCAGAGTTTACAGCTATTCTGCGAAGAAGAAGAAGAAGAAGAAGAAGTGTCCTGGTCGTGGTGCACTTCGGCACACAAAAATGTAGAAACATTCTATGAAGCACAGAAAGAAGATATGCAATCAACTCCTGCTGGGTATGTTGAACATGTTGGGACACTAAGATGACCCCTGCAGAGGACGGAGCAAAAATGGGTCTGACCGATGCGTTAGGATGATGTCGACATGGACAACAAGTAATCACAAACATCGCAGGTGGAGGGTCACATCTGCATCCTGTTGTAAATACTACAACCACAACTTACCAAAAGTATGGGACAGATGGCCTTTGTTGGGTGGGTCATGTATATGGGTCCATCGTAACCCACCATCTCTGTCATATAAGGGAGAGCCCCGCAGTGATCCAGGTGAAAATGGCTGAGAAGAAAAACACAAATCACATGATATGGGAGAGAATACAAACTGGCAAAGCCATCTTGGCAAACACAAACTGGCTACAATTGTCTTGACAAACCAATATTATCTAAAGTCAATCTTACTTACAAATAGTCATGGCAACAGTCACACTTACAAACAATAGCTAGTCACCTCATAGACAAACACTGGCTACACTCAACTCTACAATCACTGGCAACAATCAACTCTACAAACATTGGCTACAATCATCTCTACAAACACTTTCACAATCAACTCTACAAACACTGGTTACAATCATCTCTACAAACACTAGGTAGTCATCACTACACACGCTCGCTACAATTATCTCTACAAACAATCTCAACAAACACTGTGCATAATAATCTCTACAAACACTGGCTACAATCAACAATACACTACAAACACTGGTTGTAGTAAGCTATTCAAATACTGGCTAGACATCTCTACAAACACTGGCTACAATCATCTCTACAAACATTAACTGCAAAATCTTTACAAACACACTAATCATCTCTACAAACAATGGCTACAATAATCTCTACAAACACTGGGTACAATCAATTATACACTATACAAACTGGCTATAGTTATCTACAAACAATGCTTATAGTCATCTGTGGCTACCGTTATCATCAAACACTGGCTATAGTCATCTGTGGCTACAGTTATCATCAAACACTGGCTATAGTCATCTGTGGCTACAGTTATCAAACACTGGCTAGTCATTTTTGGCTAGTTATCTACAAACAATGGCTATAGTCATCTGTGGCTACAGTTATATTCAAACACTGGCTATAGTCATCTTTGGCTAGTTATCTACAAACACTGGCTATAGTAATTTTTGGCTACAGTTATCTACAAACACAGTCTATGGTTATCTTTGGCTACAGTTATCTACAAATGCTGCCTGTAGTCATTTTTGGCTCCAGTTATCTACAAACACTGGCTATGGTCATCTTTGGCTACAGTTATCTACAAACACTGGCTATAGTCATCTTTGGCTACAGTTATCTACAAACACTGGCTATAGTCATCTGTGGCTACAGTTATCATCAAACAATGGCTATGGTCATCTTTGGCTAGTTATCTACAAACACTGGCTATGGTCATCTTTGGCTACAGTTATCTACAAATACTGGCTATAGTTATCTTTGGCTACAGTTATCTACAAACACTGGCTATAGTCATCTGTGGCTACAGTTATCATCAAACAATGGCTATGGTCATCTTTGGCTAGTTATCTACAAACACTGGCTATAGTCATCTTTGGCTACAGTTATCTACAAACACTGGCTATAGTCATCTTTGGCTACAGTTATCTACAAATACTGGCTATAGTTATCTTTGGTTACAGTTATCATCAAACACTGGCTATAGTCATCTTTGGCTACAGTTATCTACAAACACTGGCTATGGTCATATTTGGCTACAGTTATCTACAAACACTGGCTATAGTCATCTTTGGCTAAAGATATCTACAAACACTAGCTATAGTCATCTTTGTCTAGTTATCTACAAATGTTGGCTACAGTCCTCTCTGCTACAGTTATGTACAAACACTGGCTATAGTCATCTCTAGAAACAAACTCACCTGATAATCACACAGTTTAACCTGTCTGTAAGCCTTCCCTCCTGGGCTATATAGGTGAAATCTGGAAAGCGTCTCTGTGAAAAAATTATTTCATTTTAACATGTCACTGCAGAGTAAAGTCAGTCAGTTACATTTAATTTACAGAATGTTGCAGAACCAACCATAGCATTTTTTTGCTGTTTTTTGTTTCTAGGAAATTTTCACATTCAGTAGTTTGCAACTGTTACTGAACAGTCAGCTCTCTGTACCATTGCTGAAACCACTGCAAGACAAATTGTTCGCAGCTGGGATTGAACCTGGCATTAGGAAGTGCATTCGCAATGCCTGAGCCACAGGTGCTGACTGTAGAGTATAAGGGTGGCTAATGAACAAATAAATTCTTGTGAATAAAGTTAAAGCCAAAAGGACCTTCTACTTCACTGCACCAGTTTTTATCCCATATAGCCCCATGTGGAATCCGGGAACCATGGGGGGTAAAGGGGGGGGGGGGGGGGGGGGGGGGTAGACTTACTGCCCCTCTAACAAGCATGTAATAAAAGTTGACTACTTAGGAATGTTTCCTTCAATGTCTAAGTACATCTGCCTGAGAGGCAAGAAACCAACAGTCAGCATACATATAAGCCACATCTGTAGAATAGATGTGCATGCAAAACTCAAGTTCAGGAACAAGATTTAAGTCTAGAAGTTGATGAACAAACTGAAATTCTACTGGAGTTTACAGCCGGTGAAGGCAAAGAAGAAGGAGAAGATCCCATAAACCTGAGTCTCTATCCGCTAAACAGCTAGCTATCTGGTGAGACTATCTCACAGATCACAAACTCCAAAGCTATAGCAAGGATCCCCAGAGAACATAAAAACTGCATCATGAACCGAACGATGCAGTCCGTCAAACAGAGACAAAACCTTCAAAAGCACGAGACAAACAACTTGGTTATTTAGCAAATAAATGTTGCTTCCATGTCAGAAGGTTGAGTCAGCCTTCGAGACAGTGGCAATTGGCAACAGGGGGGGGGGGGGGGGGGGGGGGGGGGGGGGGGGGGGGTTTTGGGGGGTTCTAGAGGTTCTAGAAAATATTCAACACATGGGGAAGCATAGGAATACTTTTAATCAGGTTGCATCTTGTACTGGCTAATAATGAAGGGTGTGGAGCATGTGTGGATATGTCCCAAGTGCAGCAACTTCAATTCTTGATTGACTGATGCATTCGAGACTGTGTTGGTGGGGATATTCAAATGGAATGCAATGATCCTTTCAGAGCAAACCCAAAACACAATTCAAATGACACACACCCTGTGTGGGCTCTGTGGCCCCTTTGTGGGGAAAACAAGAATAGACCCACTGCCTTCCCAGCAAGCATGACGTAGACATCGACTAACTATGGACTCCTTTAAAGTCAGAGTGCATCTGCCAGAGCGGCAAGGAACAACCCACTGCACACAAATAAGTCAGTAAAACGGATGTACATGCAAAACTCAGGCTCTGGCACACAGCCAAAGTCCAAATGGACGAACAGCCAGGATTTTCTGTCGGAGCTTACAGCCGGTGAACAAAGAAGGAGGAGAAGGAAAAAAATTACACACACAAACACAACTTACATCATCATTGTACCCCATGTGCATGCCACAGTCCAACATGATGTTCTTGCCCCCAATAGTCAGCAGAATGCAGCTTCGCCCGACATCTGCACAAGGCAAAAAACAAGATCAACATACTTCCATATCATAAGTTACAGGTGACATTCAAACATACTGCTCTTCACGTTCACCAGCTGTAAACTCTGGCAGAGTTCTGGTCGTTCGTCCACTGCTGGACTTTAGTCTTGTTCCAGAACCTGAGTTTTGTGTGCACATCCATTTGACAGATATAGCTTCTTTGTATGCAGACTGTTGGTTCCTTGCCTCTCAGGCAGATGGACCAAGACTTCAAAGAAAATTCCTAATTAATCCACTCTTATGACATGCTTGTTAGGGAGGCAATGGATTTAAACCCCTAACTAGGGAGGCAATGGGTCTATTCTCTTACTGTAAATTAGGAGACTCAAATTATTACATCCGTGCTAGGATAAAACTTTGTTCATGTCAACTGAACGTTCTTCTTAAGAAAGTCTGTGTTAATAAGGTTTTACTGTACTTGAAAAATGTCAATCAATCAGTCAGAAGTAAATCATTTAGAAGGCAATCAATCAGGTGTCATCTTCACAATGAAAGTCTGCTGCAAGGGACCCCTCTCTTGCCTCTGTGGTACGGTGAAATTAAGAGTACAATGTTTGTACAACCAATGTGCTACTGGAAGAGTCAGCATCTAAACTTGAAGACATTTGCAGTGAAAGATGGAGCCTCTATGGGTATCGTCAGTACGCTATGTCGATTCTTCTTCTTTCTTCTTTTCTCTACTCCTGGAAGGCCTTGCGGTGTCACAGCAGGAGAGATCTCTGAAACGGGCCCTTCTGTTCGCTTCGTAAAAAGTACTTGTCTCTAGTAGTCGACCTTTGGATCTGTTACCATTGTATCTGTATATCATTGCCCTCTGTGGTGCCCTGCCTGAAGCCAATCTTGTTACATGGTCAAACCATTTGATTTGTTGTCTACCTATACAGTTAAGTATTGGTTCTGCACTGACCTTCCACCAGACAGAAATGTTTCTAAGACGCTCATTCCATCTTACACCTAGCGTAGTATGTAAACATTTAATTTCTGTTGTGACGTAACTATTTTCCTTCTGTCTTCTGAAGACAGGTCTATGTTTGACATTGACAGCTTAGCATTGGTAAAAATATTTTGCTGAACAATGTTCTTTTTAGTGTTCATATTCCTATGCTTGCATTTCAAAATTGGTGCCATCTGGCCTAAAATTGTATTGGTTTTATTGCATCTTTGTTGGAATTCTTTATTATAATGATTCTTAAATCAGTAATCTGACAGACTGCTGTTCTGCAATCTCTTAACATTACCCTCTCACTTGTAATTGCTGGTCTAGATTTTTTCACCTAAGCACGCCAGTGTGTTGGGAAATGAATGGCGGATAGACTGGCTGGTTCTGCACAACTTAGTGGAACTCTGATGCATGATAAGGCAGATGTGGTTAGGCCTTGTGGGAGAGCGTGTATAGTTCAGAGGAGCAGATGGATCACCACAGTCTTGTGAGACTGATGCAGCAGGGAGTAACGAGAGATTCTGGCTGAAGCTCGAGGCAAGACAGAAATTTAATCAGAATGCTACTAGCACCATTAGTATTGGAACTCTTCACTGGCTGCTGAAGATGGGGTTGTAGTGCTTATGGGAATGCCTCGAGTGCTGTGATGTCGGTTCTTGAATCAACTTAACTGTAATCGCTGTACACCTCTTGCTCACCTGTCTTCAGCTCCCTCACCAGACAAGTGAGGTCATAAAACCTTATATCAGGAGGCCATTTGCCTTGATGAAAGCTACTGTGCAGTACAAACCTCCCAGAGTGTCAAACAGTTTTGTTTTGATTGAGGTGGCAACAGGCCACAAGGCCTCTCTGTTAGCAGAATACAGTTATCAGTGTTGGAGAACATGTTCTGAATTTTCAACTGCCAAGTTGCAGAGACACATCTCTGTATTTCCGATACCGAAAAAAACTTGAACATGTGTTGGTAGACTGATTTTTCTTCCTTCTGTGATCATATCCCTGATTTACACTGTTAAACAATGCTAACGATAAAACTGACTGCTATTTTGAGTTTCTCTTTAGCTTCACAAACCACAACAGTGATTCAAGTAAAGCACAAGCTCCTTCTTATTTTTTTCTTGATGTTTCCCAACTGTTAATTCCAGCAGAAACTTCTAGGTGTTCATCCACTTCTGGACTTTAGTCTTGTTTGAGAACATGAGTTTTGCATTCACATCTGTTTTAGAGATCTGGATTTGAAGACTTCTGACTTAAAGAGGAGCATTAGGCATAGCAGAATGTTAAGCTACGAAGTTATTTCTGTTTCCAACAGTGCTTTGCTAATGTAGCTTTCACATATGGATGGTATACAGTTTTGCTGCCTGAGGGTCTAAGTTTAGTGCTTGGTGCAGCCCTGTGAGCTGTGTTTTTCCTGTAAAATCTCTTGTGTGCAGTGGTTGTGTCGTAGTATTCAATATGATCAGTTTATGGCTTACGTGTGAGCTGGTGAAATACCTTCTATTTCTATATCCAACTTATCGTGCCCAACTACTTCCATGAACGGCAAACTGCATTTTTGGTGGCGATGTTGGCTTTGGCACCTCTAGCAACTGAAATTGACTAACTGTTTGCTCACCAGTTTTTCAAATGCAACAGTGAGGGACATTACATTTGATTTTCACTGGCACAGGATACAGGATATGGAGCACATATAGAGAGTCATGACCTTGACTAAGACTAAAACTAAGATCTGGCTTATTTGTATGCACTCTTGGTTCCTCACCTCTCAGGCAGATGCACTTTGACTTCGAAGGAAACATCTCAAATCAGTAGACTCTTACAACATGCTTGTTAGAGGACAGTTGGTCTATTCTTGTTTTTCCCACATTCGTTCGTCCGTCCGTCCATCACTAGTACTGAGGACCACTCTTTCTTTCGTCCTTCATGAAACTATAGTTGAGTATTTGTAAGTCCGGAGGTGACTTATAAGTCCAATACGTGCCCAGAGGAGTCTAGGACAATGTTCCCCAGAATGCGGCCCTGAAACCCACATGGGAGAGCATAGATTCTCAACCCAAGGGTTTTCTCTAGGGTCACCAGGCATCAGTGAGCTGTGAAAACATTTGTACTGGGAACAAACTTGTGAAATGAGATGTTTGAGAAAAGCAGTCAACATAACAAGAAGGGAACATAAAAGAAAAGAAGATTATCATTAGAATGGTGGGAATACCTGCAATTAGATTTACTGAAAACAAAAGATTGAATTGGTTTGGCCACCTGGCCAGAGTGAAGCAAGTATCACAGGTTGCAACAGCATAAAACATGAGAATAAAAACATCAATAGGCAGAGGACACAACAAAAAATAATGGATAGATGGAGTCAAAACTCAACAATATCATCATGCAGCAAGTTAATAAGCATGCACAACCCTTGAAACGGTTAATTAGCCATGTCTGTGAAGCTTAACAGCATAAAGCAGAGAAAGACAACGGATAGAATAAAATTTAAAAAATACAAAATCATGTTTTTCCTTCCTGTACAAAAAAAATTGAAGTGTTCTCATTTACATATTTAAAAAAGCATATTTTCAATGTTTGAACTCCTGGGTCACTTGGCCTCTATAAAAAACGGCTGACCTTAAACTTTTTGTTGTGAACCACTGAAGCAGAGGGATAATATACTGAGCTGAGTTTAGCAGTCTCTAGAGATGGGGATAAAAGAAGAATAAGTTGTTTTCCATTGGAACAAAAACAGTACTGCCACAAGCTGTGCAGGTTAGGACAGAGAAAGAGAGAGATCCTTGGACCTCTGATGCCAAACCCCCTAGGACTGAAAGAGTTACAAAAACGTATATATATATATATATATATATATATATATATATATATATATATATATATATATATATATATATATATATATATATAGAGAGAGAGAGAGAGAGAGAAATCAGCGTTACTTACCTTGCCCTGCACCTGTTTTCAGAAAGAAAAAAAAAAACAGAAAAAAATTAAATATAGATATTTTTTTTTTTTTACTTATTTAGAAATCAGTGTTACTTACCTCACCATGCAAATATTTAGAGAAGAAGAAGGAAAAAAAAACAACAACAAAAAGAGGATTTTTTACATCAGTATACATAGCAAATGCTGTGTGTCTGTATACACTTGTGAAATGTGAACATTAATCTGTGTGTGTGAGAGAAACATATTGAAAAGCAGGCAGACAGAGGGGCAAACAGAGGGATAGGTGGGTAGTTGGCTAGGCAGACAAGGCATATATTAAAGCTACTGTGTTGACTTTCACGTAAATTTGTATGGCTGTGTGAATGTCTTCCAAAATGTGTGAGAAAAAGAGATAGGGGAAAGAATGAGAGGTATAGACGACTGGATACTGCCTCTCTGAAAGTGAAGGTATTATGATTAAATCCTGCATTAATGATCTTTTCTTTATATGCCTTGACTTGCCTGCTGGCAAGTGACACAAGAAAGTAACTTTGATTATTTTTTTTTTAAATTGTAACTAACTTGGGGTTACCATATGTCTGCTATTTTGTGGACAATTCCTCATTCATGAGTATATCTGAGCGTCCGCAAAATAGCAGACATATGGCAAACGCTAAACTAACTACACAGTAAAACATCACTAGACTGATATACCTAAGTGAGTAACTTTTATAAATTTTTTCTTCCATTGTAACTATATGCAACTGACTACAGTAACATCACATATAGACTGACATACCTTAAGGGAGATACTCTGAGCAGGATTTTCATTTACTGTAACTATATGTAACTAACTACACAGTAAGATCACATAAACTGACATATCTAAGGGAGTTACTCTGATCAGGATTTTCGGCTATCCTCCGAATAACAGTCCCACATTATCAAGGCTTAAAAAAATACCCTAACAGGGCCTCATTGTTTGTGGCTGTGCCGCTAGGAAACTGCACAAAATGTTCATTTAACAATGCGCGACTAGGTCGCCGTGAGTCGCTGTGGTAACGTCACATTAGAATAGGTTTCATTCATAACCCTTCAATCGATAGTGTCACGGTTCCACTGTTGTGACAGATTCTGGTGGTGGTGTCATAATTGCAATACTCCTTGCCCTAATCCTAAACCTAGGATTCTGGGAAGATGCTAAACCTGGGACCCAGGGGAGAAGCTAAACCTAGGACCCAGGGGAGAAGCTAAACCTAGGACCCAGGGGAGAAGCTAAGATCCAGCGGAGAAGTTAAACCTAGCACTCAGTGCGATGATTTGGGATCGTTATTCGGAGGAGTGTTTTTACCGCAGTATGCAGTATATTCGCCGGAAATAAGTCTTCAATTTACATATGATATGACTGATATGACTGATGCGCAAGTGCATAAATAACGCAAATTTAGGCATTACATGGGTTGACAAAATTCTGGAAGACCTAGACTTCGCCGACGACATAGCACTCCTGAGTTCAGAACACACAGACGCCCAAGAAAAAAATCAATCAACTCCAGAATTTCTCAGAACAAATTGGACTCCAAATTAACACAGCAAAAACAAAAATTCTAGACCTTACCAACAGTTCAGTTGATATCACGCTGAACAACAACAGCCTTGAAAAAGTCAACAGTTTCACTTATCTAGGGAGCAAGATGTCATCTACAGGAGATACCGCACCAGAAATATCATTTAGAATAGCACTGGCATCTAGTGCCTTCAATAAACTGTCTAACATCTGGAAATCAAAGACACTTAGCAAACACACAAAACTCAAGATCTTCAATTCTTGTGTGATTCCAGTACTAACCTATGGATGCGAGAGCTGGAAATCAACGAAAACTCTAGACACAAAATTAGACAGTTTTGAAAATAAATGCCTTAGAAGAATACTAAATTTCAAATGGTCAGATTTCCGAACCAATACACAAATAAGGCAAGAATCCAGGCAAGAGTATGTGTCTAATTTTATACAAAAACGCCGCTGGAACTATGTCGGCCTCGCCCTTAGAATGGATAAATCAAGACTTCCTTACCAAGCCCTCATTTGGACACCACAGGGGAAAAGATCTCGTGGAAGACCAAGGGAAACCCTACGTAGAACTATCATCAGGGAAGGCTCGCTCATGGGCCACTCAAACATCCAAGACCTACAACGGATTGCAACGGACCGCCGTGCATGGAGAGTCGCGACCTCTGCCCTATGTGCCGCACTCGACACAAGAGGAAAGACTAATGACTGAGGCCCTGTTAGGGTATTTTTTTAGCCTCAATAATTTGAGACCATTTTTCGGAGGACAACCGGATTTTCTTCCATTGTAACTATATGTAACGCTATAACTAACAACACAATAACATCACATAAAGACTGACATACCTCAAGGGAGTAATTGTAACTTTGATCTTTTTTGTTTCATTGTAATGAAATTATGGTAATTTAAGACTAAAATGTAATACTAACATCAAATTAATAGTAACATACCTAAAGGAGGAGGTAACTTTGATATGGAATTTATTTCATTGTAAATACACTGTAACATTGTATGAGTAACACTATAAACACTTATATTATAAACTTAGTCATGTATCTTTTACATGATGCTGCAGAACCAGCCCAGCATTTTTATTTTGGCTGTTGTGGATTTTTCCGAGCCACATTTTAAGTTTAGTAGTTTGCCACTGCTCCTCAACGGTCAGCTCTCGGTACTACTGTCAAACCAACAGAAGACAAAAAGCAGCTGGGATCGAACCCAGCACCCCGGCATTACGAAGCCTGTTCACAACGCCAAAGCCACAGATGAATATTAACACTGGCTATCCTCCGAATAACAGTTCCAAATTATCGAGGCCGAAAATATACCTTAACAGGGCCTCAGTCACACGTAAACTGCGGACTTCCAGCAACTTAAGTTGCAGATTTCGGATGACTACCGCCATTGCGGAGAGTATCTCACACGCCGCTACGCACAGCGTGGAGCGGGGCTAAACTAGATGGCTGGGACTCATGAGCAGCAGCTACTGCATCTCCTGCAAGTTCCTCCAATTAATTTGCTCCTGAGTCCCAGGCGTCTAGTTTAGCGGTGAGTTTAATCGCGTTTTGCGCATGCTATTATCGTCTGCAGAAACGCTCGAAATTGTCAACGGTCGCTATTATCGTCTGCAATGCTGCGTCTCTTGAAATTGTCAAGTAATCCTAGTTTTGCCGCGATTTGTTCCTTGGCAGAAAGTTTTCATTTTACATATGCCTGTGCCCCGTAAGGATATTTTATGGCCGCCATTATATCAGGTTGAAGTTCGGAGGAGAGCCCAATCAGAATCTAGCGACTACAGTTTCGACAATTTGCGGTCTTTTTGGTAATTTCCGTTACCATGGAAACCGTTTGAAACTTATTTAGGAAATGTCGGGAAACGGCGGGAACGAACCCGATTAACAGCGCATGTCTACGACAGCCGGACGTCCTCTGTTTTTCTGTTACATCACTTTGATTGAACATAGCGGTAAGTATTCAAGGTTGGCTTTAGGCCTTAAACATTACCAGACATGGTAATGCTAGTTATAATTGAATTTTCCGTCCAATTTTACATTTGTGTATAAAATTTCTGTCTTATCTGTGGCTGTTTCGATTTACAGTGACATTCTTCATGCAATCGCTATTATGTGGCTGTGTTTGAGAAAAATTGTCTGCCATCTTGTCCAATGAAAACAAAGCCAAAACGAAAGTTGCGCAGTTTGGTTGCGCAGAGAAAACTTCTTGTTTCTCAGACACAAGTTTTAGCAGCTGTTTTTTTACATCTCATCTCCACAAAAACCTACATATCTCAGCTCAGAAATGACATACAAGCCTAAATGGGGTACCGCTGGAAAGAGATTGTTTACAGCTATCTAACTGTGCTGGTTTTATTGGTGTAAAGGGCATTTTAAAAATTTGACTAAAGAATCTCGGGGTGATCAAAGCAAACTATTCAAACCTTCAGACTGTACACTGTAGCAGCCCGAAGGCGGGGGGAGGGAGACGCATAAACTTTCATCTAGAGCTTCTACACGGTTATACTACAGAGTAAAATAACATAGATATTGACATACCCAAAGGAGTAACTTTGATTTCGGTCATGATGTATACAGTAGACTGAAGACTTCAACGACTGAAACAAATCAGACGGGGGCTGCCATCTTGGTAACTTGAAAACTTTAACGTTCTAAACGAAATATTAATAATAACCAATATGTGCCGTGCCGATAAAGCGAGTGTTGGATTTCGCCATTTCACGCGAATCACCCATAGGGTCAGTGATCTAGTCTCGCCCTATCTATGTGGTCAACCAATTCAGGGACTTATCCCCCCCCCCCCCACCAATCTTGTCAGTCATCACCAAGTCGGCGTCTGTGGCTTAGGCGTTACGAACACGCTTCGCGGTAATGCCGGGGTGCCTGTTTCGATCCCAGCTGCGGGCCTTACGCCTTGCGTTGGTTTAGACAGTGGTATCAATCAAGAAGCCGACCGTCCAATAAGCAATGGCAAACTACTGGCCGTAAATATGCCTAGTAAAACCACAACAGCCAAAAAAATGCTGGGGTTGGTTCTGCAACGTCGTGTAAAGGATACGCAACTAACTATAACCAAGTTCCCGAATCCATTCTTTGTAGTAACATATCGGGAAAACACCGGCTAAATAAAATGCTGTTTTGATATCGAAATTACATCCAGTATCTAGTGATTTGCGGACAGGTGTTGGTATCATGATCTTCGCGTCCTGCGATCTTTAACAGCATTCAAATGTTTCTAGTTGAGCGCGCATAGCAGTCGTGTGGTACATAGTTCCTTCACCGACGTTGTTGTCATTTGGTGATTCTAGGCCCTGTATGGTAAATCTTCTACTTCTGCGTTTATTCAAAGATGTAATAGTAAATTAAAATATAGATTTCAAATTTTTTGTTGTTGCCTGATGTTTTTCCATATTTCATGTCCCCACCACCACCTTCTTCTGCATCTATGAGTGCCTATCAATACATGTCAGTTTCATTTTTATGCAGTTTCAATGACCACAAAAGTTCCAAGACAATTTCGTTTTCTCCCTGTTGTTTTCCTAAATCCCCTCTGACGATCTGAAAAAAAGTATTTGTTTCCAAATAGGTTTTGCTGATGCAAGTTCTCCATTTCTGGACCGGGAGTCCGGGGGTTTAATCGGCCATATACGGAGTTCAGTGCCTTTTTTGCGATTTTCTGAGATCCGGACTTAACTTGGAATGATCCTTTCTATTGTGTCTGCGGCATGTTGTTGACTGCACTAAAATGGCAGGTGGCTGACTACACACTTCTTTCATTTTTTCTTAGCGTTCACCGGCTGTAAACTCCAGATAAAGGTTATGGTTTTTCATCCACTTCTGGATTTTAGTCTTGTTTCAGAACTTGAGTTTTGTGTGTATGTCTGTTTCACAGATCTGGCTTATTTGTAAGCAGACTGTTGGTTCCTTATTTCTTATGCAGATGCACTCACGACTTTGAAACAAACACCCATATTACCCGTTTGTTAGGGAGGCAATAGGTTTGTTGCATCATGAGAGCGAATAGACTAAAAAGATTGGGACATATTGAAAGAATGTCAGATGACAGAGAAGTAAAAACTATACACACAAGGGAGAAGAATGGTCGTAGACCATGAGGCAGACCAAGAAGACAATGAAGAGATAATCTCCAGACAGACCTGCAAACACTTGGTGTCACCATCTGGAAAGAGAAGGCCAACCAGAGAGATGAATGGAGGCGGGTGAAATCTGCAGCAATAAACCTTAAGGGCTAGGAATGCTGAAGAAATGAAGTTATGAGAAAATGGAAACAAATGTGAACACCGGAAAGATCCGTGGAAAAAGTGATAGATGAAGACAATGTGAAAAAGGTTCTTGACATATTTTTGTTATGGCATGGAGAGTGGTGACAACACATTAATTGATACATGCCACTGAAGGTTGTAGAGAGCAAGATCGCCCACACCAGTCTGCAAGGCACTTCATGATGATGATGATAATAAACAACCAAAATACGATCACTTCAATTTTATACTGTTTTTATTCAAAATTTCAGAAACACCACACAACTAATATAAACAGGCTGGCCACAATCGTAACGGCACAGTTGCACTTTCTTTCATTAGGTCTCTTAGTGCAGTAAGTTTTTCCATTTCATACCTGCCCTATATACAAATTAATACTCTGGACTGAACATGTCCCAAAGTTCTTTTGCCACTAAACAGTTACACAAGTTGGACTAAATCCAAAATGTCTCCCAGATAACATGTTTTCCCCCAGATAAATAATAATAAACAATACAAGTGTATGCAAATACAACAACAACATCTTCTAAGATATAAGACACGCCATGTTTTCTAAAACATGAGACACACCAAGTCTTTTATGCAAAGACAAGAAATATAGGGTAACACCCACTGCTGAATCATCAGTACAAATCAAGACTGCACTGAGTTAACAATTTCCGCTAAAGAACACCAAACAATGCTAAATACATCAGAAGAGCTCCAAAGAAGTCTTCATTCCACTGCAGAAATTCTGACAATGGTGAATTAGCCAGACTTATGGCTCCATCCATAACATTTCTGCTTAAAAAAAAACAGCCAACAATGCAAAATAACAGAAAAGAGCTGAAAACATTTTTTTTTTCATTTAACACATGCTGGCTATGCTAAATTCGCCAAACTCATGACAGCATCCAACACATTTCTGGCAAAGTAAACTTGCCAAACTCATGACTGCATCCAAAACATTTCTGGCAAACTTAACTTGCCAAACTCACATCTGCATCCATAACATTTCTGACAAAGTTAACTTGCCAAACTCTTGACTGCATCCATAACATTTCTGGCAAAGTTAACTTGCCAAACTCTTGACTGCATCCATAACATTTCTGGCAAAGTTAACTTGCCAAACTCTTGACTGCATCCATAACATTTATGGCAAAGTTAACTTGCCAAACTCACATCTGCATCCATAACATTTCTGACAAAGTTAACATTTCTGACAAAGTTAACTTGCCAAACTCTTGACTGCATCCATAACATTTCTGACAAAGTTAACTTGCCAAACTCTTGACTGCATCCATAACATTTCTGGCAAAGTAAACTTGCCAAACTCATGACTCCATCCATAACATTTCTGTTAACACTCTCTGTTACTGGATTAACTCATAACATTTCTGGCAAAGTAAATTTGCCAAACTCATGACTCCATCCATAACATTTCTGTTAACACTCTCTGTTACTGGATTAATTCATAACATTTCTGGCAAAGTTAACTTGCTAGGTGCGACATTTAACGCTCTTGAAATAAGACTAACTTAGAGATACCTTGGATCAAGAAATGTTCCATGAATTCACAGGAATGACTCAAAGATTCGTCCCAGTCACAACATTTTTGCTGGACCACACCCAGCAATGAAGAACTCACTGGAATAACTCACTCCGCCAATAAAGACATGTTCAAAGAAGCACACCAACAATGCTGAACCCTCAGTAATAACTCAAAGATCCCCCAGTCACGTTTTTGTTGAACCAATAATTCAAAATCCCCCCCCCCCCCCCCAATCTTGATGGAGCACATCTCACAACGATAAACTCACCAACAGAAAAAGAATCACGATACTCGCTGCAGCATACCAAACAATGCTGAACTCATCAGAATATCTCAGATATTCGCCCATTCAAGATATTTAGCCACAGCAGACCTACTAATTCTGGCCCGACTGATTATCAATCACATTCACTTCAATCCACTAACAAGCATTTCTGCGACAGCACAGTGACCGCTGATAGATGATGACATGGTCACTGTCCGAAGATGATACCAATGATCTGTACAATGTATGTGACACAACAACAGCTTTCATGTACTCTTCTCCTTTTCGTTCTCCCTGCCACTGGTTTTCAGACAAGAGGGCCACAGGCCTCTATAAAGGCTGTGATGCCACATGTCCTCCCCTGATTCACACAGCTTTGTATCCACTGGATCGCCAATGGGTCAGACTCTACAACCATGAACCAGGTCACTCCAACAGCAAACATCAGTATGTTTGTTTCACCAAAACATTCAAACTCCATATTATCCCCAACCAATTATTTTCAACAAAGATGCAATAAAGTCATTTAACTCTTTTGAGTCCCAGGGGGTTTGGCATCACAGGCCCAAGGCGTAGTCAAGAGAGACGTAAAATCGGCGCATCATGCGTTCATTGGGCCTCTAGATAGGAATCTATAAACGTTTGATGCGTTCCTTGGGACTCAAAGAGTTAAGCTATAGGACAAATGGCCCTAATATAGTGAAATGCAAGCATGTGAATATGAACACTAAAAGAGCAGTTCTTCAAAATATTCTTACCAATGCTACACTATCTTAAGTCAGAAGAATAATAGTCAGGACAGAAATTAAATGTTTATATATTATGCCAGGTGTAACATGGAAAGATCGACCTAGGAACAACGATATCAGGAGTCCGCACAGAATCAATACTGAACTTTATCAGTAGGCAACAGATCAAATAGTTTGGCCATGTAACAAGATAATGAATAGTCACAGCACCATTGACAGCAATGTTATCTAGTGGAAACAGAGCCAGAGGTCGACCTAGCGGAAGATGGACCCCAGAAATATTGGAGATACTGAAAAGTACTACATACGAAGTGAACAGAAGGGCCCATTCCAGAAATCTCTTCCTAGCCCAATGCTGAGAGGCATTCCAGGAGCAGAGAAAAGACAATTTAATTTTCGTACTACCTGATAGAAGTGCACAGCTTTCATCACCTCATATATGCAGTTTAAAGAATGTTTAAATGACAAGAGCATAAGTTTAATTCTGCCCGGTTTTAATCCAACAAATCCCAGCTCCCCTTTGAAGATGGTTACCCACGACAGCCATGCAAAAAACACAAACTCTGGGGCTCTAGGAACAAACTTTAAGTGTCTCCAATACACCTGCAGCCTTAATACAAAAGAAGCAATCTGGAACCACACCCACAAAGCATACAGCGTAATAACATCGTCATGGAGACCCCCACATAGTCAATAAATCAAAGACACCTGACCAATCCTTGGACCCAGGTACAGTCACAATACATTTTCCTCATTGACTATTCCAGCCCTACACGTTACCACCACACAAAACATCCCCTACCTCGCTTGGTTCTTGTTATTTGGACTTTTCCTCCCCTACACCAACCATGAGTCTGCCTGGCAAGTTGACCACAGGCGCCATTGCACATGCAATTGTCTCCATTCAGGTCCATAGATGGCTGCTGCATGCACTAACACTGCCCATACCTGAATCCTCACTCCCTCACCACTGGCAATACTACTGAATAAATAATTCAATCCAACTCTTTCCCTAGACACACAGCCACCAAACCACAACATCTGGTTGTAAATATGTAATGCTGCCTCTCCCAGCTATGCTTACATGTGAACTGTTTAAAAAATAAAAGGTGGCTTTACTAACCATGCTTACATGCTTTCACAAGCTGCCCTTTCCAGCCATGCTTTCAAGTGCAACTGACTAAACAAGCTGCCCTTTCCAGCCATGCTTTCAAGTGCAACTGACTTAACAAATTGCCCTTTCCAACAATGATTACATGTGCAACTGACTAAACAAGTTGCCCTTTCCAACCATGCTTACATGTGAAAATGCCTTCACAAGGTGTCCTCTCCAACCATGCATACAAGTACAAATGACTACACAAGCTGCCCTTTCCAACCATGCTTACATGTACAAATGCCTACACAAGCTGCCCTTTCCAGCCATGCTTACACGTGTAAATGCCTTCACAAGTTGTCCTCTCCAACCATGCTTACAAGTGCAACTGCATACACAAGCTGCCCTTTCCAACCTTGCTTACAATTGCAGCTGCCTACACAGTTGCACACACTGCCCTTCCCACCATGTTTACATGTAAAATGCCTACACGAGTTGCCCTTTCCAACCATGCTTACATGTGCAACTGCCTACACAAGCTGCCCTTTCCAACCATGCTTGCATGTGTCATCCTTACTACATACATGTGTAAGAAGATCAATTTCATTGTGCTGGATTATATCCCACATGGTCCAGCTCCTTTCCACACAGCCACTGTCTGCTAAAGAGTGTTGTATAAAGAACAATCTCTGCACCTTCTGCAACAACCCTCTAAAGATATCTTGAACACCTGTTCTCAGGAACTGAAGGACAGAGCAATACATCCAACCCACAAAGCCAAACAACCACTCAGCCATGGAGACTCTGGCATATACCTGTAAATGTCAACACATCTTCTTTTAGTCCGTGCCTTGTGGCGTTGGTAGTCATCCACAAACTTCCGTCTCATGTACTGTCAATCAATTCTGATATAGATGATTTAACACACCATGACATCAAAACTGCTCACGCATCTTATCTCTCTCTCTCTCTGCTTCTTTCCTCCTCCAACTCTTTCGCACTCAAGATGTACTAGTTTTATCCTTACATGACGTGACCAAAAAATATATATTGTCACCAACAAAGGTAACAGTTGTTATAACCCCACAAATGGTTCATTTATCTAACACACCACAAATGGTTCCCTATTACCCTTTGGTTTCTGTAGAAATTACCTGCAAAATGATTTCAACAACAATATTTTGGCTCAACCATAATGACTGCCGTTTGAATTACTGAACGCCTGTCTATTAAAAAAAAAATCAAAATCTTACAACCCTCATAATCACTGTAGCATTTTATTACTAAAAAGTGATGCATGAACTATTGTATAATCAACAGCACTGGTCACTTTAAAACATCCCACGTATTTCTCAACTCGGCAACTGCCTCCCAAAAAATACATAACACAAGATAATGAAGAAATATAACTGGATATCGCAGAACCAATACAGCAATGTAAAACAATATACGCACAATTACTCTGTTAATTTGCCTTATTTCCCCCGTAAGAAAATATGGAAGTCAAAAAAAAAAAAAAAAAGTTGCAAAAATTCAAATAGGTTTCTATCGATACTGCTGTATGACTCTTGGATCACTAGTAACGTCCTTGTTAGTCTTTGTTCCACAGTCCCATTCTGGGGAGAGTAACAAAAGACCCATGCATGTTGTAACAGTCGACGAATATGGGGCCTTTCTTCAAAGTCAGAATGTGTCTCCTTGAGAAGCAAGAAACCAACAGTCTGCACACACATAAGCCAGGTCTGTAAAACAGATGTGCAGCCAACACTCAGGTTCTGGAGCAAACTAACATCCAGGGGCGGACAAACAATGAGAACTTTCTGACAGAGGCTGCAGCCAGTCAGCGCGCAGAAGAAGTAAAATGGATGCAACTGTAAAACTAGAATGCAACCCAACTTTAAATATGGCAAGGAACAACACTTCAACAAATAACTTTAAAAATAAAACTGCTTTTACTGCCTATATCAATACAGTGTTGGCGTCTGTGGTGCTGGATTCGATCCCAGCTGCGGGCCTTGCGCTGGTTTGCCTAGAAAAACCACAACAACCACAAAATGCTGGGGTTAGTTCTGCAATGTCCTATAAAGGAAATGCAACTAACTTAATTCATACAGCAGCGTAGGATGGGAGGCGGGTATGTCTTGAGACTGAGGATTTAGGGCTGAATGGTTAGTACAGCAGCCTCAGACTGCAGTTCAGAATTTTATTTTTGCTCTGGATACAAAAAAAAAAAAAAAAAAAAAAAAACTGATCTCCTTACCAGGGATTTCAAATCTGAGTGTCATGAATGAGAACCCACATTCTTACCCACTGGGCCAGCTGCTGCTTCTTCAACATACAATTTTCTATAGGGGCTGCGTTAGTGCAGTTGATAGGAGACTTGCTTTCAAATCCAGCTGTGACTCGCTGCAGCCCAAGGCCGGTGTTCGAAACAGGGCGGTTCCCAGGGTTGACCCAGCCTCCAGGTAATGGGTACCAGAGTTGAAACTCTGGGGTAAATGGAGGAATGTCACTGTAGCTCAAAGTTGTGTGCAGAAGGCGACACAGGTGGACAGTTTCTTACCAGCTGTCAGTACTGGTGGCAGATCACTTGTGGTTTATAACCGAAGCAATGACGCTGGTTCACATCCCCCCTCGACTTTACATTTTTATATAATTTTCTATTAATCTGCCTTCAATTAAACATACAGATTTGAAACAAAAAATGGATAACACATCATATGAACAAGTTTACAGATATAAAACACCCAGGCTAACATCATCACACACAAAAACAATCAACTCTCCAAGTCTTTAAACACAAAGAAAGAACTTAATAAAATTCCACAATTCATTTCAGATTTGTCAAAACTGTTCACAATCAACTTCAAATCTATCAAAAGTCGCAGCTAAAAAAATAAATTAGTCAAATAAACTGCCTTCAACGAGGCAGGCAAACAATACAAACTGTTAATGCGGCAAGATCACGAAAAAACAAAATGTGCTTCATAAATTCTGTTTAAAGCCTGGTAACTAACAGCCCAAAAATAACTAAAACACTGACATATTTTTTTTTTCAAAACCTGTCCTGTCTCAACACTGGAGGCTGGCCACAATAGATATATTATGTGGTGAAGCCCCCACTGGGGGGGGGGGGGGGGGGGGGGGGGGGGGGGGAGAGAGAGAGAGGAGAACAAGAATAGACCCACTAATTCCCCCAACAAGCATGTCGTAAGAGAACTACTTGGGGCTTCCTTTGAAGCCGGAGTGCATCTGCCTAAGAGGCAAGGAACTTACAGTCTGCATAAAAATAAGTAAGATTGTAAAACAGATGTGCATGCAACACTCAGGTTCTTGCACAAGTCTAAAGGCCAGAGGTGGATGAAAAACCATAACTTTCGGCTGGAATTTACAGTGAGTGAACGCGAAATGAAGAAACCCTGATACTCAAAGATTGTGAAATTCGTCCACTAACCCCCAAGTCACAGCGCTGTACTTTGTGTTAACTATAAATAATGCAAGCAAAAAAAAAAAAAAAAAAAAAAAATCACCCCACCTAAGATCACACAAACACACAAATTTCTTTGAATTTTAATACTTTCCTATTAGAAAAGATGTAAAAAATATTCAACGTAAAATAATAAATTAAAAAAACAAACTGCTTAAATCAAAGGACATGGGAACAAATCCTCAAAACATGAGTTCAGTTACACCAACACAACAAATGCGCCAAATGATTCTTGCACAGCATGCGACTACGCAACACAACTAATGACCAACTACCCAATCTCGAGTTTTTCCCATACATATCACCTCTAATGTGCTAGTTCCACCCTGACCCAGCCTTGGCAGGCATCGAACTCCAGCTGGGCACCTGACTTGTGGCCACCGTGTGGGGGACAGGGGGCATCTCTGCTGTCTGGCTGCCCCAGCCCAGGAAATTGCTGTTAGCCCCGCTGCCGGCGGCCACCACCGCCCCGTTGGAGGTGCCCATGGGCGCCGGGGCGTATGAGGTACTGATGCTATGTGGCGCAGCGGTAGTGGTGGCCACCGCCATGGGGTCTCCATTGGTAGTGGCAGCCCCAGTCTGATGGGTCAGTCCAAGCGGCCCCCATCCAGTCTGACTGCTGAGAACTGCCTGTGCCGCAGCCAGCATGGCATGATTGAGCTGTGGAGTAGGAAAACACAAAGGGCTAGAGACAACAGGCAACCTGCCACATGCTACAAACTCTCCTGACGCACCAACTACATAGGTATTCTCCTCACTGAGCTTTAAGCGTGATTTGTTAGCTGCTCAAATCACGGGACTATAAAAGCTAGTGTGAAAAACCTATGCAGTTTTTCAAAAAATTTAATTAATCCTGGATATTTCACTCTTTAAGGATGCAAGAGCCCTTACAGAATAAGTTCCCACATGGCGGGTCTCCACCAGATAGTAGTGATCCATGAACATTTTTTTTAAAAAAAAGGGAAGGGGGGGGGGGGATTTATTTCCAGTATGTTTTCATTTAACTTATTTAAAAACCTACTAACAGTGCACACCGTCACAGCCACTTTGCTCTATAAAATTAGGTGGTAACTTAACAACTAAACAATGTCGGGAACCACTACTGCCTTATAGAAGGTGTTGAGGTCAGCCTCTACTATATAATAAATAAAAGACTGTGCAAAGGGCACAGGAGACCTGGGTTCGGATCCTTGGTAAGGTTAGGGATTTTTTCTGTCAGGGGCAAAATATAATCCTCACTTGCACAGTCGTGGCGACAGCTCTAGCCATGAGGTGGTAAATCCTTAGGCTCAAAGACCCTCACCCCCACTCCCTGCAAAAGTGGTATAATATATATAGGCATTAAAGGGCAGTTTTTGGCAAAGGGCACACAAAGGTATAGAGCTGAATTTGTGAAACAAGGTACCTTGGACCATGTTGCATGAAAAAAAAAAATGGTATAATATAGGCATTAAAGGGCAGTTTTTGGCAAAGGGCACACAACTGACAAAGGTATAGAGCTGAATTTGTGAAACAAGGTACCTTGGACCATGTTGCATGAAAAAAAAGTGGTATAATATAGGCATTAAAGGGCAGTTTTTGGCAAAGGGCACACAAAGGTATAGAGCTGAATTTGTGAAACAAGGTACCTTGGACCATGTTGCATGAAAAAAAAAAGTGGTATAATATAGGCATTAAAGGGCAGTTTTTGGCAAAGGGCACACAACTGACAAAGGTATAGAGCTGAATTTGTGAAACAAGGTACCTTGGACCATGTTGCATGAAAAAAAAAGTGGTATAATATAGGCATTAAAGGGCAGTTTTTGGCAAAGGGCACACAAAGGTATAGAGCTGAATTTGTGAAACAAGGTACCTTGGACCATGTTGCATGAAAAAAAAAGGTGGTATAATATAGGCATTAAAGGGCAGTTTTTGGCAAAGGGCACACAACTGACAAAGGTATAGAGCTGAATTTGTGAAACAAGGTACCTTGGACCATGTTGCATGAAAAAAAAGTGGTATAATATAGGCATTAAAGGGCAGTTTTTGGCAAAGGGCACACAACTGACAAAGGTATAGAGCTGAATTTGTGAAACAAGGTACCTTGGACCATGTTGCATGAAAAAAAAAGTGGTATAATATAGGCATTGAAGGGCAGTTTTTGGCAAAGGGCACACAACTGACAAAGGTATAGAGCTGAATTTGTGAAACAAGGTACCTTGGACCATGTTGCATGAAAAAAAAAGGTGGTATAATATAGGCATTAAAGGGCAGTTTTTGGCAAAGGGCACACAAAAGTATAGAGCTGAATTTGTGAAACAAGGTACCTTGGACCATGTTGCATGAAAAAAAAAGTGGTGGGGTGTGCGAGTGTGCCTCTCTCTCTCTCTCTATCGGGAAAGGAAGAGGGACAGGGGAGAAAATGACTGCAGACTGGTTAAGAGCAGTCTGAGAAGCACATTAAATACATGCAATGGCCAAGGTGCTCATGCAAGCCAACACAATGGACTTGAGGTTTACAGCTCGGCATGATTCTGCAGATGGTGTGAAATGGTGACACATGACAACTTTTGCTCAAAGGTGCAGTACATGATGATAATGACAGAAAAAAATAAGCTCGGGTAGCTCTAGAAAGAATTCTCGCATGCTATAAAATCAGTTTTAACATACATCTGTGAATTCTGGACAATTAATAAACAAGCCAAACAATTTCTTTACGCCTCAGAAATGTGGTTTTACAGAAGAATCCTTAGAATTCCTTGAACAGCTCAAAAAAAAAAAAAAAAAAAAAAAAAAAAAAAGGCAACCCATATGTTTTGAAAGAGGCAAATGCTCGAAGACAACCTATCACAAACATCAGGAAGAAAGTCATCTTTTTTTGAGTCATGTTATAAGAAGAAAGAAACTGAACATATTGTGACCACTGGAAAGAGAGAAAGAGAAAGAAAGTGCTAGATTGTAGAGAAGCATGGTCACCCACACCAGTTGGCAAAGCACTTAAAGATGATGATAATATCTAGAAAGTTCTTTCTCAGGAACCTATACAGAAAGAAAATGAAGTGAAATGTAAAATCTCATGCAGCAGAGAATGAGACCCCAGGTGGGGGAAAGGGGAAAGAGGGGAAAGAGGGGGGGGGGGAGAAGAGAAGGAAAGGATAAATCCACTGTCTTTTAACAAGCATAAGGTAAAAGATGACCAATTAAGGGTTTGCTGAAATTGGATATGCTGGGTTGAAAAGCAGGGCATCGTAGATGTAAACGAATTACAATGTGCCACCTGTCCTTTTAAAGCCATACAAAGACGTAGTAGTAGTTACGGAAGAAAGCTGCAACAGATGGCAAAAAACACAGTTGGCATGAGTCAGTCGAGGGCGTATGTTGTACTGTGGGAAGTATCTCGTCAGAGAAAAGATTATGTACTGCAGTTAAGAATCAGCAGCTCAAAACCCAAGCAGATGAGTTACCTGTAGAGCACCAAGTCCCAGGTTTCCAATGCCAATGTTGCCCAGTGCTGGCGCCACAGTCATATTGTTGCTGGTGTGGCCTGGGTTCGCACCCCTTCCTGGACCCCAGGATCCCTGGTATGGTATATGGCCATGGTTTGGTACCATCCGCCGGTCAAATCTAGAAGACAACAAATGGGATGTATGAGTGGGAAAACTGCATGTGTCTATAGACACAAGAAATAATGCGCATGTGTGCCCAGTGCATATAGAGAATGTGCCGGAGTCTCCAGAAAGAGAGACCATTTGGACATGAAAACAGCATGCATACATACAGGAGAGGGAAGGAGAAAAGGGGTGGAAGGGGGGGGGGGGGGGGGGGAAAAAGAGCAAGTTAGGCCAATGTTGTACACAAATACAGAATGTTAGTTTCAGTTCATAGTTTCAGTTCATAGCAAACGGGTCACCCCACAGTTGCTCTGCTCCTGTGACAATGAAATACAAACAGAATGTCCATTAATGTCTCTTGTGGAAAAAGCATAAAGCAGCTATCATAAGTGCTAACACAAACAGCCCAACATTAGACCCACTAATTCGCCCAACATTAGAAATGCAATTCATCATCGATGGAATCAGCAGTTACAAACAGATAAGCAGCTGCACAGGCGATCAAATTTAACCACACAAGGCACCACCAATTCTGTGGCAACAGACTGTGTGCTATTTTCTGAATCTACAGTTCACAACACCACGTTGGTCATAGTTGAAAAACATTCCAAATGAAATCTGCAGCTCACAGTGTCACACCATGCACATAATTCAGCAGCTAGGAGAGAAAACTATATTCTTTCAGTCCACAAATGGAGGAAAATGCCAACAGCCACCATCTGTCAGAAGCAAACAATGTCACAACTAAAAACTGTGACCATACCTAACGTCCATTTTGACCGGAAGCTCACACACATAAAATAAATGAACAAAGATTCAGTAACCCCATCGAATTGCTGGAGGAGGGTGAGAAGGGGAGGGTGTTAGAAATATGGTCTTGTGTGTGCTCTTTTTGTTGGTAAGTTGGTCTTCCTTTCTTACAGTGATGAGATAAACAGGGAGTAACTGCAGTCAAGCTGATGACAAGAAGTGCTATACAACATAAAATGCGGCCAGGAAGCTCAATGGAGGGAATGGAAAAGCTGCGCACAAATACAACCAATAGTTTCAACCAAAGTTTTCATCTTTCCCCCCATTACCAGCTTCTTGGTTTCATGCTGATCCTGGTTGTTTAGAATTAGAAGCTCTGTTGCTATCTTCTCTGTTGAGTTTTCCAGTCACAGTTTGTGCTGATAAAGACTGGTCCAAATGTTCAGCTGTATTTGTGTTGTGTGCCTTTCCCACTCCCTCCTCTGGGCTTATTTATGTAGTTTTTAGCACATTATTTCTTAAAGTCTGCTCTTGATGCCATCACTTCATATTTTGCATGGTCTTCTCCATATCTATCTGTTCATTATACTTCATCAGCTTGGCTCTCTCCCCGACAGTTGGTACCAGAGCATTCTCGTCAGATGGTGAAACCATCTGTATCTGTTGCTCTTTAATGAACTGCACTTTTCTCCACTTTCACAGTTTTCATTTTTATCTTGTCCTGTCACTTCAGCAGTTCTTCCAAGACACCTATCTCTGTTTTCTTCTTTACGTTCACAGACTAAATTCCAGCAGAAAGCTTTGGTTGTTTTTGCAGTTCTGGACTTTAATCTTGTTCCAAAACAGACTGTTGGCTTTTCACCTCTGGCAGATGTATTCTGACTTTGAAAAAAAACACCCCTAATTAGTCGACTTTTACGCATCAGTGGGTCTAACAACCCTAGCTTTTTGCCAGAGTTCACAGCCGGTGAACGTTAAGACGAAAAAGAGACTAAGCAATATTACATTCAGTAGTTTGCCATTCCTTTGCTGATCGGTTAACACTGTCAAAATAAACTCAAAGTGATCTGCCGCCAAATCTAAGTTTGACTTATCAAACAGCTCTATTTCCTGTGTGGGTTCTGGGGCCCCTAGGGAATTCAACAATGTATTCACTGCACCCACTGTTGGCTTCCTTCGAAGTCGGAGTGCATCTGCCCGAGAGGCAAGGAACCAACAGCCTGCATACAAATAAGCCTCATATGATATTGGGGTGGGGTGGGAGTGAAAGACGCAATTAAAAAGAAAAAGGACATATAAACTATGGATAAAATCAAAGAAAGAAGAAGATTATATAAACTATACACTGCAAAGGAGAGAAACCAACAGGAGTGTCTAGAAAGCAAAACAAGCATCCTGGGAATGTTTCGGTGAGTCACTAGCAGAAAATGAGAAAACAGCCAGCAGAAAATTTTTCAAAGTAGTTAAAAATATGCGGAAAAGAGATGACAGCTACAACCTAACTGAAATAATTAATGATAAGACAGGAAGGCCATTGATAGATCCACCCGAGATAGCAGAAAGATGGAGGGAATACTTCAATGAGCTCTTTAATCCTCTAGGAGATCATCAGGAAAGAACAACTGAAGAGCAACAGTGTTAGAACCACACATACTAATGGATGAAATAGAAAAAGTCATTAAGCAGTCTCCCAAATATAAAGCACCAGGAGCTGATAGATTACCAACAGAAATAATTCAAACAGCAGGTGAAAGCAGCATCAGATGGTTTCACAGAATATTTAATGCAGCATGGGTACAACAAACTGCCCCTATTGATTGGCAACATGCAATAGTTATACCATTGTGGAAGAACAAAGGAAGCAAACGAGAATGCGGTCAATACTGAGGCATCTCTCTTTTAAGCCATGTTGGCAAAATGTATGCCAAGATAATAGAAACAAGACTGAGACCAGTGATAGAACCACAGCTGGCAGAAGAACAGATGTGATTTAGGAGAAATAGAAGCTGCACAGATGCAATCTTCACACTTAAACAGTTAATAGAAAAGAACATTGAATACAATAAGAACTTATTTGTGGCATTCGTAGACCAGGAGAAGGCATTTGGCAGAGTCGACAGACAATTATTATGGAAAGTAATGGCAAGATATGGAGTAAGCGAACACCTCATCAAAGTGTGCAAAAGTTTATACAGGGATTGTAGAAGTGTAGTTAGAATAAATCAGGGAACATCTCATCCATACACAGTAACATCTGGAGTAAGACAGGGGTGTGTCTTATCACCACTGCTGTTTATCACCTACACCGACAGTATATGCAAGAATGCCAAGCCCATGAATGAAAATGTTAGTAAGATCAACGAATTACTCTTTGCAGATGACCAGGCCTTGATAGCAGATACAGCCATAAAATTACAACAACATCTAACATCCATGAATGAAGAATGTAAAACAAATAATATGAGAATCAACACTGAAAAGACAGAAGTAATGTCAATAGGAAAAAAGAAGACAGATCTAAACATAGCAATATAGTGCAAAGGCATTAAACAGGCATCTGAGTTTAAATACCTAGGAACTACATTTACCAAAGATGGGAAATTGGATAAATAAATTAACATTAGATGCAGTAAAGCAAACCAAGTATTGGGACAGCTGGCCCCCCTCTTACAGCATAAAGAGACATTCAAAGCATATTTATTCCAACTCTGTGCTACCAGTGCCAGACATGGTCACTCACAACAAACCATAAAAGAAAATTAGTAACCATGGAGATGAGATGTCTGAGAAGGGCTGTAGGAGTGACCATAAGAGATAAGATCAGGAATGAGATCATAAGAGAAAAAGTCGGCACAGAACCAATTCTAAATTACATTCGAAGACAGCAGGTGAAATAGTTTGCCCACTTAGAGAGAATGCCTTGTGACACCATACCATACAAAGCATACATGGAAAGAGAAGAAGGGCATAGAGTACGAGGTAGACAAAGAACAAGATGGAAGGATAACATCAGAGAAACTCTACAACAACTCAATATGCCTATGGTGGAGGCGGCCAGAAGAGCTAGAGACAGAACCTTATATCTCCCTCGACACCCACAGCGGTAAAAGAGGAAGTGTAGAAGAAGAGAAGTGGGAGTGAGGAGGGAGTCGAATCTATTCTTTGTTCTCCAATATGGAGCCCCGGAACCCATAAGTTGATGCCAATGGGTTCATGAGTGCCTCTTTCGCCCCAACACATCAGATTTCAGCAAATCCTAAGGAAGCCGGCTTTTACGACATGCTTGCCAACAGGCGGTGGGTTGGTTTATTCTCCAACATCCCCCCTCCCTGCACAAAGACAGGGGTTCCTGAGGCCAGTCCTCCCAACTTTAATGGAACATGACAAACAGTAAGCCACTCACTTGTCATTTGCTTTTGGGGCAGCACTGCTTATATGAACACTAGCCCCCTTGATAATGTGGTCCTCTCCACACAGAGATTGGGCGGTCTCCGAATCTGCAAAGCTAACGAAGGCAAAGGCGCGGAAAGGCTTAGGTATAAACACGTCCACCACCTCCCCAAACTTGTTGAAATAATTTCTGAGGTCGTCTGCAGTCATTTCCTCAGTGCATCGGCCCACAAACACCTTGCGGTTCATCATATTCTGCACACCTTCCTGGCGATGACAGAACAGATGTACATTGCAGTTAAACCACGACCGACATATGGAGCTGAAACATGGAGAACAACTAAAACAATTACTAATTAAACTACACTGACTAACCAATGCCTGAGCAAAACTAAAGCATTAAATGGTATGACAGAATCACTACACGTAGAGCTATGGAACAGAACTAAAAATTCAAGTGAATCATGAGGCAAGGAAATGATGTGGCACTGACTAGGACACCCACACAGAAAATCTAATAACATAATTAGAATGTTATGGCACTGGACCCCCACAGGGTGAAAAAAAATACAAGCATAACAAAAACACAACAAAGGAATCAGAGAGTGAAGTTAAAATTTTAAAATATCTCAGGAGGACATGGGCTGAGCTGCATGCGATGGCAGGAATGGAATTCAGTGAACCCCTACAAAACAGCTTGATGATTTGGACTTCACTGATTTTTCTCTTCTGTCCCATTCACAGAATCAGATGCAAGATAAACTGAATATACCTGATGTGAGATCAGAACAGCTAGGTCTGAAAATTCATAAGGGAAAGAAAAAAATAATGAGAATAAATCAAGCAAACAGTTTTGTGGTTTCTCTGGTACCCCAATCCAAAATGTAGAGTCGTACACTTATGTGGGCAGTAGTGTAGATAAAGATGGGGGAACAAAGAGATATTAAAATACGAATACAAAAGGTCAGTAGAGCTTTCATAGCACTATGGAGTATGTGGGAGGACAAAAGTTTTTTTTAAAACATTAAAACTTGAAATGTGTAATTCTAATGTCAAATCAACACTATTGTATGGAGCAAAAACATGGAGAACTACTAAGCCAATTTCTAATAAACTACAAAAATTGGTTAACTGGTGCAAGTGCAGAAGAGACGGAACTGAATTCTATGATAGATCACTAATGTAGAGCTTTGGGAGAGAACTAAGCAAGTTCCAGTGGACCAAGAGGTGAAGAAAAGGCGCTGGCGTTATATAGGACACATGTTGGGAAAACCTGAGAACAATTTAACTAGAATGTCTTTGCACTGGAACCCACAGGGGCCCAGGAACAAAGGAAAAAACACATAGAGAAAGAACTAGAGAGAAGTTAAAAAAAGTGGAGAGGACAGGGGGGAAAGCTGCACGCCACAGCAAAGGATACAACAACTTGGCGTGAGCTAGTTGAGGGCCTATGCTTCATTAGGCGTTAGGAAGACAGAAAAAGCATGCAATGGCAAGGAACAGGATGACCTAGCATCATAATGTCCAAGGGCTGTCTCTTCCTTTAATGGCACTTTTTCATCCTTCTAGATGACAGTGTTTTAGTGTGCTAAAAAGGAAGCAATGAGAATAACAACCCATGGTGACAGCAAATGTGAACAGCAAGACCTGTTGGCATTGAGAAACATTAGATCCACCTCTCCATAGCACAAAACCTGAGCAGTTTTGCATGAATTACTGCTTCTGTGACAAATCCCTCTCTCGGCCTGCTTCTATTTCTTTTCAGCATTCACCAGCTGTAAACATTGGCAGAAAGTCCTACAAAATGAAGCCTCAGAACCAACACAGAGAGCAGACTGGTTAACTCTCAAGGGAAGGCCGGGGCAGAGCATGGATATTCCCTCTCTCGAGGTTTCGTTAAATGCACAGCAGATACATGGTGCTCCGGTACTGGGCTTACACAAGGAATCAAACCAAAAAACAAGACATGTCAGTATTAGCAAATTATGAAAGGGCATCGGCTGCCAAGAATTTACCTTTGAGTTTGGTATCCGCACATCACACCACCGTCCATCAATCATATGCCTCTGTGCCATACATTTCACCTGAGCTTCATATTCAGCAAAACGGACAAATCCAAAACCCTTCGACTGTCCTGATTTAGGGTCTTTCTTCACCTGTTAAAAAAAAAAGAAGGTAACAACAAGCATCAAAAAACTGAAATATCCACGCATGGTGCTGCTGGTTGTTGGCACATCTTTCCAGACAGTTCAACTGTACTCTAGGGAGGCATGGGGATCAAAGCCCAAGGTGACGGCTGTGGGTGACTAGCAAGCCTAGCTTGAATTATGTCCTTCCATAGCAGAAAGATCATGTGTTGCCCATGCAGTATGATCCCTCCCTCTGCCTGCTTGAAAGGAAATTAAACACTAATATGTAGAGGTTAGATCAGAGGTTATGGTGTTCATCTCAGGAAGAGGAGACTCTGCAAATCTCATGGTGCTGATTGCTGCTTCTTCTTCTGTCCTGCAGCTTAAGCCGTAAAGAGCTGCAGAGAAGAGACATGTACTCTCCTTCTTCTGCTAGCTGTGTAGCTTGTGGTAATGTCTTATTACGCTTTTCTAGGGTCTCTTTTACTCAATTTTTTTCTTGGTCAACTGTTCTCATGTAGTATGCTCTAGCTCAGTGGTTAGAACCCCTTGGGGGAGGGGGGGGGGCCTATTGACCCTTACACAGTGCTCATCTAAGTCCATCAAAAACACATTTTCACTGAAGCTATGAAGTAAAAACAAAAATAATTTTATGCCTGTGGGTTACCACAACATGAGGAACTGTTTTAAAGGATCGTGGCATTAGGAAGCTTGAGAACCACTGCTTTGGCTGCTGGCTGAATCTGTTCTAACGACCAAACCATTTGATTCTTTGATGTTATATGAAATCATTAACCAGTACTGTGCCTACCATTGTTCTTACTTCTTCTCTTAGTTCTTCGTTGAATGACTGGATTTTTGCTAAATAAGAGAAAGCAGGGGACCTAAGCATTTACAGGCAGACTGGTATTACCAGGAAATTTTAAATTCAGTAGTTTGCCATATCTGAACAGTCGGCTCTCCATACCACTGTCAAAATCAGCGCCAAATCACCTGCAGTGAAATCAAACCGGGTCTTTCAGGATTGCAAACCATGCTGTAGCCATTTAGACTTTAAAAATATAGGTCCACCTATCCTTGTCTTGCCCATAGTATCAGAAGAGTCTTTTACTTTTTAAGGCCATCATGGATCATTTCATGGCTGCATCATTCGGTTCACGAGTGCAATTTTAACAGAGATCTCTGCTGCAGCTATGGGTTGATGCTTTGTGCTAATATTCTTTGTCGGTGGCAAAACATTCTACACAGAGAGACCAAGTCATTTGGGTCAAAACTAGGGCTGTAGTGATTTTCACTATTCGGCCGAATACGAATAGCTGGACCAACTATTCGGCCGAATACAAATAGTGAATCATCACCATTAGGTGCTTTGCAGACTGGCATGGGCGATTATGCCTCGCCACAATCTGCGATCTCCTGCAGCATGTATTAGTTCGTGTGCTGACACACCTTCATGCCATGCAACAAGACTGTCTTGTCAAGAATCTTCTCTCGTTGTCTTCCTCTATCCCTCCTTCCACATATCTTTCCAGTGGTCACCACATGTTCCATTCTCCCTCGAGTTGACAGGTTGACAAATGTCCTCATTAAGTTACATACCTGAACCATTAGCAACTCTCCAAACTGCTGGAAGTACTTCTTCAGATCATCCTCGCTGCTTTTCCAAGGAAGACCAAGCACAATCAGGTCACTACACTTCTGTCGTTTCTGTGGTCTCAGAGCGTGTGATGACCCAGAGGCATTAGTTGAATTTTCCTTTGGTTTCTCGCCTGCAACAAATTGTCAATAAAAATTAGTTTGAAGACAAAACTCAGACTATAGAACAGTAACAATATTAGAAATATTATACAACAGTGAGTGATGCAAAATGACAGCAGGAATTACACATAAACTTGACTTTTCAAAACGTGAGAATTCTGCAAAGAATTTTGGCCTAATAAGATCACAAATGAAGAAGAGGAGGAATATAAATTGTTCACCATACATTTGCAGAATGCCACGCGACACTTTGGCAAGGGCAATTCAGTCGATAGCAGATGGGAAAAGGAGAGGCAGAAAACCTAAGGAAACCTGCAAAAGGACACCAGAAAGGCAAGTGAGGAATGTAATTTCGTCTTCATCGCATTCACTGGCTGCAAACTCCTGTAGAAAGTTCTGGTCAATTTAGCTTGTTCCAGAATGTAAGTGTTGCGTGAATATCCGTTAAACAGATCTAACTTATATGTATGCAGACTGCTGGTTCCTTGCCTCTTGGGCAGATGCATACTGACTCTGAAAGAAGCATACAATTAGTCAAATCTTAGGACATGCTTATTGGTTAGGCAGTGGATCAACTCTTGTTTTCCCCACAATGAGGCCCCAGAACCCAGAGAGAAAGAATGTAATATGAGATGGAATACTGTGGGCAGAAAAGGAGCAGACAAGTAGCAATAGAGATTACTGGTGAATGCCTTATGTGTCAATGACTTGAAGTGGACACAAACAAGCATATTCATAAAATGAAAAACAGCTAATGCAATAAATCTGTGTCATTGTAGGATTTTTAATTCGTGGATGACTGAGTAACATAATACCTACACCTGTGGATGATTAACAGAATACATATTGACACCGGTGGATGACAACATAATAGACTGGCGAATGACTGAGCAACATAATACACTGTTGAATGATTGAGCATCTTAATACATTGGTGGATGACTGAGCAACATAATACACTGTTGAATGATTGAGCATCTTAATACATTGGTGGATGACTGAGCAACATAATACATTGGTGAATGGTTGAGCAACATAATACATTGGTGGATGACTGAGCAACATAATACACTGGTGAATGGTTGAGCAACATAATACACTGGTGGATGGTTGAGCAACACAATAAACTGGTGAATGATTGGGCAACATACTACACTGGTGGATGATTAAGCAACATAATACATTGGTGGATGACTGAGCAACATAATACATACACAGGTAAATGATTGAGCAACATAATGCATACACTGATTGACAATTAAGCAACATAATACATGCACTTGTGGATGACTGAGAAACATAATACACACACTGGTGGATGACTGAGCAACATAACACAGTGCATACTGATGGGTGACTGCACAGAACAGATATTTGTTGTTGTGGATGGTCAAATAACAGGCGACATGTTATAATACTCTTACTGGTTAATGATTTAGTAATAGAATGTATGGCAACAGTGACACATTGAAAATGTGATAAGCAAATTGCCACTGCTTAATAACAAGAAATATGCAAGTCTGGCTATCCTCCGAATAACAGTCCCAAATTATCGAGGCTGAAAATATACCTTAACAGGGCCTCAGTCACATGTAAATTGCTGGCTCTTTCCGGCGACTACACAGCATACAGCGGAAAAGCTTCCGCCAAGTTAAAGTCACTGCCGAGAGTAGCTCCCGTGCCGCTATGCGTGGAGCGGGGATAAACAAGATGGCTTGGACTTACAAGCAGCTGCTACAGCATCTCTTGCATTTTATTTGCTTGTTAAGTCCCAGCCATCTAGTTTAGCCCCTGTCTGAACCCTCATAGCGGCATGGGAGTTACTCTAGGCAGTATGCTGTGTAGTCGCCGGAAAGAGTCCGCAATTCACATGTGACTGAGGCCCTGTTAGGGTATATTTTCGGCCTTGATAATTTGGGACCGTTATTCGGAGGATAGGATGCAAGTCTTTTGAATAAGAAGAAATATCGGAGACTTCAGAATAAGAAATACATTGAACTTGAATAAAAAGAATTATGGGAGACTTCATAATAACAAGAAATATGTTTGTCTTCTGAATAACAAGAAATATGGGAGACATCATAATAACAAGAAACGGGACTTCAGAATATGAACACAAATTAGGGAGACTAAACAAGAATGATGGTTACCTTATGAATACTAAAACATATGAGATATTTCTGAATTTAGTTTCCAGCATGATTATTATTTGAAATCCTGAACTGCATGCCCAGTGTATTGGCTACTCAAGTGTAAGTGTAAGCCATAAAAAAGAGGCCGACATATAAAGAAGGTTAATATCTGTGCAGACATTTTCCTCTTCACTTAGTATAAATGTTAAGTATCATCCCCACAAACAAAATTTCAGAGTTCTCCTCTTCATTTCAAAATTCAGAAATGTGAGGACCAGCAATGGAGTTTCACATCTGTGGAAAGGTTTATCATGTAACCAAATCAGTGGGGTGGTCTCCACATCATCTAGCCATATGGGTTCTGGAATGCCACTGTGTGGGAATTGGTGGAGCAATTAATAATACACTGAATGCCCTTCAACATGTAATAAAAGGAGGCTAATTTAAGGGTTTGTAAAATAAGTGACTTTAAAAAGTGTAAAAGACATGGGGTCAACTGCATACAATAAGGGATAGGATGACTTAGCATGCTCCACTTGCACTTAGGTATAAAAGGCAGAAGAAGGGTGGTGTTGGCCTGGGCTGAAGGGCACAAATGGCAGCAGCCTAGATGTAAATTACAATACTACACAACATGCCAACTCCACCATCCTTTCATAGGTAAAGGTAGAAAAGTGGTGTAGTATAGAAGAAGACCAGGATTGCATTGGAACTTCACCCTTGTTGGCAAGTGTAGCTGGATACTGGATGTAAAGAGATCGATTCGGTTATAACACACACATAGGTTAGAAGGGATTATGATCAATATCATGTAGTGCCAGTTATTATATGACATTAAATTGTCAACACTCAAACCCCTCAGCAAAAAAGACCGTTTAAAATATAAAATGTGTTTCATCGGTTCCTCATTTGCCAGAATCAATGATGTCCTATACAAACAATACAGCTGAGTGAGTCTTCTTTCCTATCAAAGAGCCAGGATAAAGCTAACAAGTGGGTTCCTTCCGTCAACGGAATCAGCATTTTGATGTGGCCATGACAGTTGATTGTGTGTGGGTGTCCCTAAACGAGTTCAACCACAACTTGCAATCTCAATCATAAAGATACCTGCCTTTTGGAAAGACGACGATATAAACCAAGTCTCCCCAATCGGTATCAGGTGGATACAAACGTCCATCGGACAATCTAATTCCTCGAAGAGTGCCCGTTTCATGGTTTCGGTACTTCAAACCACAAGCCCCGGGGAACTGAGCCGACAACGTTGTCAACAGAAGCGTTCCATCGTCTTCACTGGGCAGCTCCATCGGCTCGTCGCCTTCATTCTCCGATACATGAATATACTGGTTCATTGTTCTTGGTAAGCAAGAACGCCAGTTCCTCCAGGAAAAGTCCCTGCTTGAGGAAATAAACTGCCCGCCGAGCTCCCCGGGTCTAGCGTAAGAAAATGGCTGCCTGTAGCTCTCAGCAAAGGCTCATGGGAAAACAAATGAAAACTTCAAATAGCTATCTAAATAACTTAAACGTATATAAAGTAAACAGCCCTAATTTTATAAAATTAGAGTTTTACATTTTAGTCTAATTTCAAGTAAATATGCTTTTAATAGAAAGTATTTTCTTCGGGTAAAATCGGAACGGCCTGGAAAAGCTTGATGCGCATGCGTTGTCGTTAGCAACAACTTATTATCATAATTTATTTCCGTAAATAAGTGGAAATAAACATGGCTGAAAATGTAAAGCGAATTATAAATATATACACTAGTTTGCTTTCTTGTTCATGAAGCTGCTGATAATGCACTCCGGGGGTGCCCCGTCACCCTGAGTATATATTGGAAAGCGTCCATGTACTCACCCTTAAACACTCCGTGTGTATGAGTGTTTGTGTATATCTTTCTACTTCTTTCTATGAGTGCCCATAATGCATTGTTGTTTGTTTGTTTTAAATATAATAATTTGTGTTAACAAGGATGTACCAGTGAGCCACACAAAACCAAACCCCCATGTACTCTTCCAGTTATCAATCCTTTTGTCCTTTTAAGGACAATATTTTTCATCAATTGAAGCCCTACTCTGTCTCTTGCCAGGGGCCGCAATATAGCCTGGCCATAGACGCGTTTTTGGGACCTCTCCACGGTGATCCTCACCCACATGGTGGCACGTTGTGTCATCGGGTGTTTATCGCTTGTGTGATGTCCTGGTAGGGTAAAAAGTCAGTCAGTCAGTCTTCCCGTTCTGTAATGAATTAGATAATCTTGTTGCTATAAATGAACTTTTAAAAGTTTCTGATCATGTAATACAGTAGAACCTCGCTTAACGAGCACCTTTCATAACGAGTAATTCGTATAACGAGCAAAACAAATTGTAAAAGAATGACTCGCTTAACGAGCGACGATTCGCATAACGAGTGGCGAGGAGAGGGGAAGTCCCTGATTGTGCGCATGTTATATCAGTCTGTGTTTAGCACTTCTTCCATAGCATCGTAGTGTCGCTTGTGACCACATATTTTCTCAAACTTGTATTTTTTGTGATATTTGTGCATGAATCCTCCAGGCCTATAAGATGACCTCCCTGATGAATTTAAGTTCATCGAGATCTTTTTACTGCCTCCCAACACCACTCCGTTACTCCAGCCCATGGAACAGCAAGATATTTCTAACTTTAAGAAGCTCTACACTAAAGCCCTCTTCGAGCATTGTTTTCAGGTGACTGAAGGGACCAACCTCACTCTCAAAGAGTTTTGAAAAAATCACTTCCACATTGTTGCCTGCCTCAAGATGATCGACAAGTCGGGAAAAGGGGTTATCAAGAGAACCCCAACTTCTGTTTGGATAAAGCTTTGGCCGAAGAGCGTTGTCGATTTGTGACTTTAAGGGGTTCGAGACAGTGCCTGTGGAACCTATAGTCAACGAGATTGTGTCTTTTGGCACTATCGTGGGATTGTAGGGGGACAACAGTTATATCGAAAAGCTTGTGGAAAAGCACAGCCAAGAGCTGACCACCGAAGAGCTTATAGAGTTGCAATGTGTTTCACAGCAAGAAGTTTTGGAGGAAAGTTTGTCCGAGGAGGAGGTAACAGAAAACAACAATCTTCTGGCGAAATAAGAGAAATTCCGAAAGCATGGGAAACTGTTGCATCTTACACTGAAAAGCATAACCTTAATAAGGAAGTGGTTATGCGCGCTGCAGATTTATTTAATGATAATGCTGTGTTGCATTGTAGCCAAATTTTGAAGAGTCGGCAGAAGCAAATGTGTCTGGACATCTTTCTAGTAAAAAAAAAAATAAAAATAATAATAATTAGCTATGTATTAATATTTCGAATTTTTTTCTTCTGAAAATCGAATTCGCATTCCAGGTGGGTTCGTTCCGCGTTTGAAGAAAATATAAAGATGATTCCCTCTCCAAAACAATATTTTAAAAATCGGTCGCTAGCTGGACGTCGACGGCCGCTTAGTCAGAGTTCAGTCCCCTGGCTGCAGTGCAATTACGGAGTGAAAAAGAGGGAACGAAACAAATGATATAGTTACCTGTCATCCTGGGGATAGGTTTAGGGTTAGAATTTGGGGTAGGGTTAGGGTTTGGGGTAGGGTTAGGGTTAGGGTTAGGGGTTGGGTTAGGGTTTGCGGTAGGGTTAGGGTAACACATCACGGAAACCACGCAAGCTTATCGATTATTACGACATACAGATCCGCAGGTCTTACATCTATGGTCACTAAGTCTTGCGTCGAAAGAACGCGGTCGCTAATGTCAGTCGCAGCGCGTGGTCTAGCTCTAGGAGCCATGTCGACCTCACTTTGTTTTTTGTTTCGTGAATTGTCCACTCCGTAATTGCACTGCAGACAGGGGAGTGAACTCCGACTAAGCGGCCGTCGACGTCCAACTAGCGACCGTTATTTAAAGGAGAACCCAATATGTATATAATTTTTTTTTGAATAAACGTTGTACATGTACATAGCATTTTGTGAGTATTTTTTCGACATGGAACGCATTATCGAATTTTACATTTATTTATATGAGAAAAATTGTTTCGCATAACAAGTGTTTTGCTTAACGAGTACGGTTCTAGAACGAATTATGCTCGTTAAGCGAGGTTCCACATTATATTAAAAGTGCCTGTCTGTCCTTAGTTAAATAAACTTATTAAAATAGTTCTTCTTATTCTTCTTCGGAAAAAGGGGGGGGGGGGGGTTGGGTGGGTTGGCAGTGGTCTCGAGGCAAGGCTGGGATTTTTTCAAGTGGACTTCTATAATAGTAATTTCCCCTGGTCTCTGGGTGGTAAGATCGGACACCCGTGTGTATTGTTGCGCATGTAAAAAATCTATTGGCAGTTGGAAATCGAAAGGAGTGGCCTAACGACGCTGCCCGGGCAAAATTTGCAGTTACAAATCTACCCAAAGTATTTCAGGATCCTCGTCGGTACTACGGAGTTCGTGCACTGCGCTAACATTCTTCGAACTCAGGCTTGAGTTAGAAGTAGAATAAAGCACTTATGGATTACTACCATTATTGTTGTTGTTGTTCTTCTTCTTGTTGTTGTTTTTTTTTTTTTTTTTTTATCCCTCCACTAAAAAGCACTAATCTCTCACAAATATAAGAGATTGTTTGGTCTTTACAAAAATAGTTCTAGTCCTGTATTTTCAATACGCCTGAAGGGAAAAGTGTTCTTTGTATTTTTTTTTCTCCTTACTTTTAGATACCAGAAGAGCGGATGCAGAGAAATCATTGGGCAAAGATAGATGTTTGTTTGTTTGTTTTAGTATCCAGAAGCCATGAGTTGTTAACCCTTTGGCTCGGTATTATGGATATCGCAACCTTTCGGCCTTGATTCCATTGTAAATACCGTAAATCTGGGAGAAAATGTGGCTTTCCTGCCTACCCCCGGGAGTGAACCAGGACCACAAGGAGTTCTTCACCCGGTCACCGCTCAATCCGGTTTAGCCAACTTTGCTAGAGAGCCGGGCTGGCAAAGATAGTTAAGTAGACTACATTGATATTGTAAGAATAGTTTGAGTTCTCCCCCTTTAAGAGAAAAAAGAAGGAAGGGAGAGAGAGAGAGAGAGAGAGAGAGAGAGAGAGAGAGAGAGAGAGAGAGAGAGAGAGAGAGAGAGAGAGAGAGAGATATGGGGGGGGGGGAGGGGTTCAGAGGTAAAGGTGGTAAATAATGATATATTATCAGTAATACTGTATTAACGTTTAAATTATTGACATAGAGGTTATGCTTTAAATTTTATTATCTCTGTTTGGCTTTAGGGGCCTCCTTTTAGGTGGGGTCCGGAGTTGGGGAGGGGGGGGGGGTGCTGGGTAGGGACAGAATAGATCCACTGCCTACCTAACACGCATGTCGTAAAAGGTGACTGATTAGAAATTTTCATTCCGAAGTAGAAGCTCATCTGCCTGCGCGACCATGGAGCAACAGTTTGCATACACGAGAGACAAATATTGTAGAGGTGTTTAGTTCATTTATGCGTACTTTATAAAACGCTGTGATAATCGTGCTGTGCAAAGGAGACGGACCCCAAAACTGTCCCAACCGGCGACGAAGTCGTCTACCCGCCATCCAATGGGTGGACCCGGTCGCCGATCCTATATTTGATTTCCACTTTGTTGTTGTTGGGATTGAATGTTGTTGAATGTCAAATTAAGAATTGATATCATAGCACATCAGAAGGAGACAGTCATCATTTTTTAGGCCTTGTTATGAGAAGAGGGAAGATAGAACATGTTGTGACCACTGGAAAGATCTGTGGAAGGAGGGATAGAGGAAGACAACGAGAGACGATTCTTGACAGTCTTGTTGGCATGGAGGTTTCGGCACACGAACTGATACATGCTGCAGGAGATCGTGGATTATGGAGAGGCATGATCGCCCACGCCAGTCCGCAAGGCACCTGATGATGAAGATGATGATCACATCACTCGCCATATTCTCATAAGCGCTCAATCTTTATTTTCAACAGCCAGCAGCAAGTGCAAAGTTCAGATTCTAATGGAACCAGTAACAGTATGATTGTACTGTATATCCGTCTCGCCATCCCCTTGAGTGTTGAGCATCGGCTAGATCCACTCGTCACACCTCGCCTCACCATTCTTCTCCTCCCTGTAATGATCTATTTGCGCTCATAAAAGACACTAACAGCATCGTTTATGCATCAATTCACCAGCAAATGATGCTCAACCAGCCAGTCTATCAGCCTGTTCATTTTTCAGTACAGCTTAATTATGTGGAGAAAAGACGCTAGCTAACAAGAACTGTCTGTTGGGAGCCGAGTTGTATGGACGAACCAGTTCACTTGATGTTTTCTAATGCAATATAGTGCTGACCTACTCCGACTTTCGTCTAGATTCCACACTC